TCCAGAGCTATTCTTTGCATAGTCAAGCCCCCCCCTTTATTTGTATCCTACATTATTCCTATTGTCCCCATTCCCCACTTTATATGGGAGCATGCTATAGGCCCTCTTTTGGACCTAACATTACCTCATTTAACCATCTATTTTGAAGTTGACTTCATCTGTGCGTGTGTGTGTGTGCGTGTGCACGTGTGCTAGTGCATATAACCTTGTTTTAACCTCATTCAATTTATTCAATCTTTTATTGCTGGAATTTTAGATTGTTTCCAGTCTTGCTATACACTTAACTACTGCAGTGAACATTTTGGACATTTATCTTAACTAGAGGTTGAAAATCGGATGCCCATAGCTGTATCTGGCTGAGTATTTTTTTTTTAAGTTTTTTTGGAGGGCCCACTCACTGTGTTAAATATCAGACATTTTCTTTTTTTCTTTTAAAGATTTATTTATTTTTAGAGAGAGAACACAAGCAGGAGGGGCAGAGGGGAGGAGGAGAGCGGACTGCATTCAGCAGGAAGCCTAATGTGGGGCTTGGTCTCAGAACCTTGAGATTATGACCTGAGCTAAAACCGAGAGTTGGATGCTTAACCAACTGCGCCACCCAGGTGCTCCAATATCAGACATTTTCAATAAAGATTTAGATTTTCAGCTGGAAACGCTAGCAACAGTGGGTTCACGATCCTGAAGGCCGAGATTCTGGCCCTGAGTAGCCGTCATTCCCTATAGATGGGTCCTGTACGCTCCAGTCTTAGCATCCTTTCAACTTCTGTTGCCTTCTTTCTTCCTGTCTCCTGAGAGCATTGGGTTTGTGCCCTCTTTTGTGCAACAATATAAAGCACTAAAGATGGTTCTCAAATGTGTTTGTCTTAGGCCTTCACCACCTTGTGTCCACGAGGGGAGTCTGGGATTCTGCCATTCTCTTCCTATTATAAACAAAGTATAGCAAGGTTTCCACACAATTGAGAATGGGAAAGGATAGGAAACCCGTGAGATCTAAAATACAAATGGACAGGGTGCCTGGGTGGCTCAGTTGGTTAGGCGACTGCCTTCGGCTCAGGTCATGATCCTGGAGTCCCGGGATTGAGTCCCGCATCGGGCTCCCTGCTCGGCGGGGAGCCTGCTTCTCCCTCTGACCCTCCCCCCTCTCATGTGCTCTCTGTCTCTCTCATTCTCTCTGTCTCAAATAAATAAATAAAATCTTTAAAAAAAAAAATACAAATGGACACTTTAGCTTTGGGGATTGCCAGTCATGGGATGAGTCTTTAGTTTGCTGCCTTTTTGGAATCACCTCTCTATGTCAGGTTGCTTTATGGCTCTAGGCAAACTCACTCTCTTCTTTCCCCCTCTGAGAGGAATTTATTGATTCATAAAATTATCAGGTATTGCTATTAAGTGCATCTCATCTTTCTCTTTCAAAGCTGACTGCAACTGTTGCCCAGTCCTAGGAGAAGCCATGCTATTGTTAGTAAAGGATAATGTTATTTTATCAAAAAATTTTTAAAGATTTTATTTACTTTTTAGAAAGAGAGAGCACAAGCAGGAGGAGTGACAGAGGGAGAAGGAGAAGGAGAAGCAGGCTCCCTGCTGAGCAAGGAGCCTGATGGGTGGCTCCATCCTAGGACCCTGGGATCATGACCTGAGCCGAAGGCAGACACTTAACCGACTGAGCCACCCGGGTCCCCGTATTTTATCAACTTTTATTTGATCGTTCTTTTGCCTTCCACATTAGAGGTGACTTCTTGGATAGCTACTCGCTTCTACCTGAGCTCTCAGGGTCTTTGGAGTATAAACCACCCAAGTGCAAAATCTTTTTTTTTTTTTTAAGATTTTATTTATTTGAGAGAGGGAGGGAGAGAGAGAGAGCATGAGTGGGGGAGGAGATGGAGCCAGAGGGAGAGGGACAACATATTCCCCGGTGGAGTAGGGAGCCTGACTCTGGGCTCCATCCCAGGACCCCAGGATCATAACCTGAGCCAAAGGCAGATGTTTAACCGACTGAGCCACCCAGGTACCCACCAAGAGCAAAATATATATATATATTTTTTAAGATTTTATTTATTTATCTGACAGACACAGTGAGAGAGGGAACACAAGCAGGGGGAGTGGGAGAGGGAGAAGCAGGCTTCCCATGGAGCAGGGAGCCCGATGTGGGGCTTGATCCCAGGACCCTGGGATCATGACCTGAGCCGAAGGCAGACGCTTAATGACTGAGCCACCCAGGCGCCCCCCCACCCCCAAGTGCAAAATCTTTTTTTTTTTAATAGATTTTATTTATTTATTTGATAGAGAGAGAGACACAGTGAGAGAGGGAACGTAAGCAGGGGGAGTGGGGGAGGGAGAAGCAGGCTTCCCGCCGAGCAGGGAGCCCGATGTGGGACTCGATCCCAGGATCCTGGGATCATGACCTGAGCCGAAGGCAGACGCTCAACAACTGAGCCACCCAGGCGCCCCCCAAGTGCAAAATCTTGAGGTTAATCTGATCTTCTGCACAGGCCTCATAGTAACCCTGCTCCTTGATTTGAAATGTTAGTGTCCTGGGGCACCTGGCCAGCTCGGTCAGAAGAGCATGCAACTCTTTTTTTTTTTTTTTTAAGATTTTATTTATTTTTTGAGAAAGCGAGAATGAGAGAGAGCACATGAGAGGGGGGAGGTCAGAGGGAGAAGCAGACTCCCCGCTGAGCAGGGAGCCCGATGCGGGACTCGATCCCGGGACTCCAGGATCATGACCTGAGCCGAAGGCAGTTGCTTAACCAACTGAACCACCCAGGCGCCCTGAGCATGCAACTCTTGATCTCAGGGTTGTGAGTTCGAGCCCCGTGTTGGGTGTAGAGATTACTTAAATGAATAAAAGTTAACACATTTTTTTTGAGGGTGCCTTGGTGGCTCAGTTGGTTAAGTGTCTGCCTTTGGTCTAGGTCATGATCCCAGGGTCCTGGGATGGAGGCCCACGTTGGGCTCTCTGCTCTTCGGGGAGCCTGTTTCTCCCTCTCCCTCTCCCTGCTGCGCTGCCTGCTTGTGCTCTCTCTGTGTCAAATAAATAAATATAATCTTAAAAATAAATTTTTTTTGAAGTGTTAGTTTTTTTTTCCCACCCAACATTTTCTTAATTTCCTTTCCTCTCTTTCATTATTTGGTCTGCTCCTTGCCTTTGCCAATGACAGACTTCTTTTTATTTCCATCTCAAATTGTTTCTAATACAACACCCCCACACCAGGGAACTGGAATCCCCAAGCTGTATTTTTCACTTCCGGAAGCTGTTCCTCTTCAGATGACTCCACTGAATTAGGGTTACCCAATAAAACTTAATAATATTAAGGCCAGAACTGACACCTAAAGGACTTGAACAAGGTTCAATAAATAACCCTGTATTTGCTTTCTCTTAATTTCCTTCTCCTTATTTTGTCTTATTCCCTGCCAGAGCTCTTCTGAGTTTTTTTTTTTTGTTTTGTTTTTTACAAAAAGTTTTATTTTATTTATTTTTTTAAAGATTTTATTTATTTATTTGACAGAGACACAGCGAGAGAGCGAACACAAGCAGGGGCAGAGGGAGAGGGAGAAGCAGGCTTCCCGCTGAGCAGTCTGCCTGATGCGGGGTTCGATCCCAGGACGCTGGGATCATGACCTGCGCCGAAGGCAGTTGCTTAATTGACTGAGCCACCCAGGCACCCCTTAAATAAATTAAATCTTAAAAAAAATTTAAAGAGACTGGGGTAGATGTCTTTTTTTTTTTTTTTTTTTAAGATTTATTTATTTGAGAGGCAGGAAGGGGCAGAGGGAGAGAGAGAATCTCAAGCAGACTCCCCGCTGAGTGCAGAGCCCTACCTGGGCTCCATCTCACCACCCTGAGATCATGACCTGAGCCAAAATCCAGTTGGCTGCTTAACCAACTGTGCCACCCAGGTGCCCCCTGGAGTAGTTGTTTTGCAGACTATCCCACATACTGAGTTTGTTGATGATCTCCCTGTAGTGTGATATATTTAACTTACTCCTTTATCCCTCATAAATTTCCTGTACACTGCAAATTAGGTCTAAAGGTTGATAAGATTAAGATTAAACACTTTTGACAAGAATACTTAATAGACAATGCTATGTATTTATTTTATCTCATCAGGGACCACATAATGTCAAACTTGTCCTGCTATTAGTGTTGCAACGTTTGATCACTTGGGTACGGTGGTGATTATCAGATCTCTCCATTTTAGATTACCTTTTTTTTTTCCTGTGCAATTAGCCAGTAATGTGTGTGGTGATATTTGGCCCTATGATAATATCCTCTCCCCCATCAACCTTTCACTTAAAGTTTTGATGACTGATGCCACCGGCCTGAATGAATTATTTCATTTTGGATTGCAGAATGGATGGTGATTTTCTAACTCTTTCATTCTTTTTACATTTATTAGATGGAAATCTTTTAAAAAAGAGTTTTCCTTTAACGGATGAACTACAGTTCTTCCTAAGAGGAGTAAATGCTTAATTCTTTCCTTTTGATCACTAATTTTCAGAGTAAGGAGTTGGTGTAAAAGTTGCCTTCAATGTGGCAAATTAGGTTTTTTATCTTTCTTTCTTTCATTTTTTTATGAGTATTACTATAGACTACTGGGTTTTTCCCGTTTCTTTTCTTCTCACCCATCCCTTTTCCCTCTGGTCTCCTTTATCCATGGCGACTGCCAACTCTCTCCGCACTCACGCCTGATCTTTCCAATCAGCCCGCTAGGGGCCACTAGCTTCTTCCCTGTCCCCACGCTGCCGCTCTATCTTAAGACTTGGCCATTCGCTACCAGGTGTTGTCTCATTGGTGCCGACGCTGTCCATGGAGCCGCTCTAGGCTGTTGGGAGGCCGTCCGCATTGCGTGGGGAAGGTTTGGGCGACGCAGTCGCCTCGCCGGCCCCCGGGGCGGTTAGCGCTTCCGGGGTCGGAGGGTGCGCGGGGTTGAAAGCGGGCCGCTCCGCCCCGTCCCCCTCCCAGACCAGCAGAGGCAGCAGCCGGAGCAGCCGCAGCCTGCGCCCTCTCCCGCCCGCCCGCCCTCCGCCCGCCCGCCCGCCCTCCGCCGCCCTCCACCCGCCCCGGGGTCTCTTTCCCCCTTCCTCCTCCTCCTCCTCCACCCCCCCCTTCCTCCTCCGCCCGCCCGCGGGGCCCCCCTCGCCTTCCCGCCCGCCCCTATTGTTCCGCCCCCGGCCTCCCGCCCTTCCCCTTCCCGCCCGCTCCCCTTTTCCCCTCAGTCGCCTCGCGCCTGCAGGTAAGCTTCAAAATTCTCCCTCCGCCCCCAGCTGTAGCTCTGTTTCCACTCTTGCCATCTTTCTCAGCGTGCTCCGGTTCTCGTCACGAGCCCCGGCCTTGCGTAGTACCGCGTGAGCGCCTACCCCCTCACTCTGGCTCGCCGGCCATTCACGCGAGGCCCTGGCTCAGGCGCGGCCTAGTAGGCCTCGCGCAAGGCCTACCCCCCTCCCCCCGCCTTTTCCCGGTGGCGGCTGCGCAGGAGTCAAGGAGGGCGCGCGCGCGGTAGGGGGGGCGGCGGTGGATTTGTTGGTTGAAGGGGGTGGGGGGAGGCGATGGCCGGCTTGCTGGCCGGGCGGGTGAGCGCGGCTCCCCGCGGGGGTCAGGCGCTGGCGCAGGCACACGAGGAGGCGCTACTAGTCCGGCCCCTCCCCCTGGATCGCAGCGCCCCCCCCCGACCGAACCGTTTATTTTTTTTTTCCCTTCTCTTCTGGTGGAGGGATGGGGGGGGCATTTTTTAATTGGAAAATGTTTGGATGACCGAGGGGAGGGGGGCTGCGGAGTTAAAGAAAGGGTAAACGGGCTCTCAGTTACCGAGTTATTCAGGACGTTCTCTCGGGGTAACGAATTTTGAAATTACAAAATGCCTGCCGATATAGACCCAGGCCGAGCTATTTATAGGAGAAGGGGTAATGGACTGTAGGATTAACAGCTGGATTCCTGGGATTGGGTACACTTATATTGACCTAGTCAGGAGAACATGACAGGGATATCTTGGATGTTTGGAGTTAGAAATGCAGCTTTGTGCCTTAATCACGAAATGGCCTTCTAAAAGATTTTCAGTGTTCTTGCCCTTTCGTACTTGCGTTGTTGTAGTGTTTGTAAAGTGTTTCCTGTTACATTTGAGTGGAGATAAGGAGCTAAACTGCCAATATTTTACCGTATCTTATTTTAAAAAACAAAGTCATTCTTACAGACGTAACTCTTTCTCTCCCTTTCCACTCAGCCTCCCTCCCCCCCCAGCACTGTTGTTTTTCCGTGAGTGAAAAGTGTTGAATTTTGGGATTTTGCCAGCAGTTAATTCTATTTTGAAGATGGGGGAATGAGGTGCCTTGGGGATGCAAAGCCCATCTTTTAAATCATGCTCTGGAGGTAACCACGGGGAAGCTTGCCATAAACAGAATGATCTGGCAGCAACTTAAAAACACTTTTTAAATGTTTAGGGATGGGTTTTGTGTTAGAGCAAAGTTAAAACAGTGGCTGGTTTGTGAAGGGGGAAAACTAGTAGGAGAGTTCATTGATGTTGAGTTTTGAAGGGATGGTTGCTAAAAATGTCACTGGAGAAATTTATCAACTTGGGAGAACCTTTTAAAGCTAATGCTGTTAGGTCCTAAGGAGGTATCCTAGGAAAAGGTATATCCAAAAAACAAATTCTCTTTCTGCATGTAATTTGTTAACTTCAAAACAGAAATATTGGGAACATTGTTTCAGAGGACAGATGGGGAAAGACCTTTCTCTGTAGGAAGGGTTCATTACTGCTGTTGCTTAAAACAACTATACAATAAATTTTTAGCAATACCAGTTTTTTCATTGTTTTCTTTGGAAGAAAATTTAAGATTTAATAGATTTGAATAAAGATGAAGTGGTAACAAAGGTTAATACAGAAGCAAGGAAAATTTTCAAATCCGAATGATTATCAAGTTGGGTTGGGAAAGGGAATAGAAGAAAGGACTCAAGCTGTGTGTGCTTAATGTACTGAGTGTTTTCCCAAAGGAGAATATGGAATCCCAGCCTTTGTAGAAGGCTTTCAGATAATGCCTTTTTCAGTGAGCTGTTGATTTAAATCTTATTAAAATTACTCGGTGTCATTTGTCAAGATTAGAAATTTTAATGTGTGATACAGCTCAATTTTTTACCTAGAAATTGCTGCAAGTAAGAAAACTTTGTGTCCTTTCTAGCTTTCAACCTGAACTGCTACCTAACAGGGAAGCAAAAGGTCATCTGCCTCTCTCTAATTGGTTAGAGGTTTGGCCTCATGATTTCCAGGTGTTTCTGTATCCTGTCAAAGCTTATTCTGCTGAAGGACAAGTGCACTTTCAGCAGTTCCTTTACAACCATTGCCAATTGAAGGAATCTTCCTCATCCTGAGAGTCCGCGGGAACCCTACCATTAAGGAGAGTAGACTGAAAAGTCTCCTTCCATACTCTTAACAGAACCTGAGCTGTAAATAGTTGTCATTATTGTAGTTGTGCTGGATATATACAAGCTTGCCAAGTGATAGACTGTGATTTAAGGAAAAGAATCAGAACATTGATAATGGTGAAAATGATTTTAGGAACTATTTCTCCTGTTGTTTCTGATTTTGATCATGTTTGCATTTCAGTTTTTGGCTTTCACCCCCACCAGTGACCAAAGACTTGACCACTCAAAGTCCAGCTCCCCAGAACACTGCTCGACATGGACACCGGTGTGATTGAAGGTGGATTAAATGTCACTCTCACCATCCGGCTACTTATGCATGGAAAGGTATGCACCAGCTTGGGAAATTGGGTCATAGTAACTGCTCAGGGAGGAGGCCAGGAAGAGAGGGCATGCATCTTGGAGCTCATCAGATTAGCACTGTGGGGCATCTGGCTTTAGCACTCTTCTCTATCAGTAGATGAGAGTGTAGTGGGAAAATGGACAGACTTTAGTAGGAAGCTCCACTGAGCAGGAAAGGCTTAACTGGAAGATGGAGCCAAAGACTGTCACATATCTGGATAATAAGATTTTGCCTGTGGAGGTTGCTATAGCTTGTGATAAGTAGATTTCCTCTGCCCAGACAATTTTGGGAAACTTTTAGGGTGGGGGGTGGAGGGTGATGTATTTGGTACTTTAAAAAATAACATACTAAGCACAATAGCATTAAATCATTCCTGCATCATTATTCCTTCAAAATTCTTGGATATCTTCATTTATGTTTTGAGCAAAGCAAAGAAAAAGCCCACCCAATCCCCTTCCCTATAAATCTTAGTTTTCCCATTGTTTTGGACCGTTAAAAATTCCTTTTCATGATAACGAACACTTTGAATTTCCTCTTATTGACGCTGGTTTTCTCCATTGCAGGAAGTTGGCAGTATCATCGGAAAGGTAAGACAGTTTCACTTCAACTCTAATTACTGTTTAGTCAGTCTGGGTTGAAATAGCAGTTGGAGCTCACTCTTGACTTTTCCTCTTACAGAAAGGAGAATCAGTTAAGAAGATGCGTGAGGAGGTGAGTTATGTGGGGGGAGTTTTAGGGACTGTTAAATCCTTAAAGGAAAAATTTTCTTTAATGAGTGATTACGGGGGGGAATGTCTCAAAAGGAAAATGTGGTATTTTTCTGGCTTGGTTATTTGTAATGACATATAGTATGCTGGGAAATGTAGTTCCTGTGTCTCAGTTCATTCAAGCATTAAGTCAGCTTCTGTAGTCTGAGGATAAAAATGAGCAATGTTTGAAATGATGCTGAAATTGCCTTCTGTCAAGATAATGTATGTAGACAGTCCTGGCTTATCTTATGGGGGGCGGGCTGTTTATATATGCTCAGATCTTTTTGTCTTATTTAACTCTTGGCTTTGTTTTTTATCCAGAGTGGTGCACGTATCAACATCTCAGAAGGGAATTGTCCTGAGAGAATTATCACTTTGGCTGGACCCACTAACGCCATCTTCAAAGCCTTCGCTATGATCATTGACAAACTGGAAGAGGTTTGTTGTTCTTTCATTCTGCACTTAGTCTTTGTTTTATTTTACTTTTGGGTGTTTTTTAAGTTTCATTTTTATTTTATTAGAGAGTGTTTGTGTGTGCCCTCATGAGAGAGGGAGAGGCAGAGACTCCTCAAGTAGACTCCTGCTGAGCGTAGAGCCTGACGCAGGGCTCAATCCCAGGACCCTGAGATCATGACCTGAACCAAAATCAAGAGTTGGCGGCTCAAATAACTGAGCCACCCAGACACCCCTCTCCATTTAGTCTTCCTTTTAAAGTGCTTCTAGATAACTTAGTGATTTTCTGAGAACTTTTAATTAATTAATTTATTTTTAAGATTTTATTTGACAGACACAGTGAGAGAGGGAACACAAGCAGGGGGAGTGGGAGAGGGAGAAGCAGGCTTCCCACCAAGCGGGGAGTCCGATGCGGGACTCGATCCCAGGACCCCAGGATCATGACCTGAGCCGAAGGCAGACGCTTAACAACTGAGCCACCCAGGCGCCCCTTCTGAGAACTTTTTAAATTCAAGAACAGAATGGATCATAAATATCTATGAATGGGTCCTTTGCGCCCCCCCACCTTCAGTGTCCCCCAAATTTGACCATTAAGTCACTTGAATCATTAAAACAAATAGCTTGACTATTACCAGGGACTCAGCATTAAAAAATTGTGTGAAAAACTAGCATCTTTTATTTTCATTTTTTGACTGACAGTTTTGAAGGTATGACAGTACTTCATTACTAAATGTTATGTCCCCTGATTTATAGTTGAGTGAGCCTAAATGTGCTTTCTTTAGGTGCCTTGGTGAACACTACTATATACTATAAATACAGGTGCCTTTCAACCTTGGATGTAGTTAGATTTTTGAAAAAAATCTGAAATGTTGTGTCAGACCGATACTTGAGGGAATGTTTGTAGGTTATCAGAAGCAAAATCTCAGTGCCAGAGGTTTTTTGGCAGAGGGAAGCTTTTTTTTTGTTCACCCAGGTATCTCAGCCTTCAGACACTGAACAGTCTTTGCCCTAGGTCTTGTCTTCTTCAGCCTCCTCCCCCTCTTCAGTAATGCTGCTAATCACGCATTTGACACTACAGGCAGAGGAGAGCTGTTGGCTGCTGCTTGGGTTGGTGATTGGATAGTTAATGGTGCCTGAAATTTTATCATGGCCAAGATCAGAAATGTTCTCTTTTGACCTGCAAGGCCCTGCTAATCCAGAGTCTGAAGCTTAAAAAACATTCAGAAGATCTGTTCATAGTTTAACATGTCCTTGACTTTAAAGACTTATGTTTAAGCACTTTCCAGGTCCAGCTATTGCATAGAGATTAGGCTGAGACGTGGTGTTTAAACCACTTAATCCTCAGGAGGCTAAATTTAACTAGGCTAAAACCATGACTTTTGGATGTAGCATATTGTTATGGGAAAGATGGTGGGCTTTGGAGCCAATACAGTCTTTTAATTTCAAATCTACAGCTTTTTAGATGTGATTGGGGTGAGTACTCGGCCTCAATTTCGTTATCTGTGTGATGGTGATATTAGCAAGAAATTAAAATAATGATACAAAGAAGCACACAACTTAATCTTACCAGTTTTCTAAGAGGACAGGATTGGTTCTTTGAATATTGGGTTGCGTTGTTTCATCTTTCTTTTAATATTTTATTTAATTTTGACTTCAAGATTGTTTTACTTTGCAGTCAGCTCTAATTTCCAAAACTACTAATATCACTTTTCTTCCTACAACCCCCCCCCCCCATGAAGGCAACTGTATTTAGGGCTAATTCTGAGGAAATTTGTAGGTATTTTTTTATCTTTTCAGAAATAGTTGTTTTGGGGGCGGGGGAGGCAATATTTGAACTTTTCGCTGATGGTAGATCATGACATAATATGCCCTTATAAGGTTAAAACAGTTCTGTTATAGCAGTTATGGGTCCCAGGCATCTGCTTAAACTTAATTCTTCTGTTCTGATGAATTTCTTTTTGAAGGACATCAGCAGCTCTATGACCAATAGTACAGCTGCCAGTAGACCCCCAGTTACCCTGAGGCTGGTGGTCCCTGCTAGTCAGTGTGGCTCTCTCATCGGGAAAGGTGGTTGCAAGATCAAAGAAATACGAGAGGTTGGTAACTTTTGTTGTCTTCAGAATGTTTATTCTAAATATGGCTTCCCCTATTAATAGCTCTTAGTATGGCTAGGAAAAGTTCATATTTGAGATGAAGATTATTAAAGTAACAGTCCTAGATGATTACAATTTGTGTATTGGGAAGAAAAGGATTGTACCATTGATGAATACCTAAAAATGTGTAGGTTTTTTTTTTTTTTTTAAACAATTCATATGTCATAACAAGTCAGAAGGTTAACTAGAATTTCTTAACTATTGAATATGACCGGTTTCCTTTTTTTTCTTTTTTCCTTTTTATTTTAGAGAGCACTGTGCTGGGGAGTGGGGGGGGCGGAGGGGGAGAGAGAATCCCAGGCAGGCTCCTTGCCCAGCACGGAGCCCAACATGAGGCTTGATCCCACTACCCTGAGATCATGACCTGAACTGAAATCAAGAGTCGGACACCTGACTGAGCCACCCAGGCACCCCCTGTTTCCATTTTTTTTATTTGGCAACTTTTCCATGAGACTACATACTTTTTCTTTATATGTCTAAGAAGATTACAGTTTGATATATAATAATAGGATATATTTTCCTTGACCAAACTCCTAAATAGCAAGGGGAAAACAGGAAGGTGTATTAGGTTGTAGTTGTAATTGTGCTCCCTTTTAAACTGTGGCATTTACATTGAATTATGGAAGCTTTTTTTTTTTTTAAAGATTTTATTCACTTATTTGAGACAGAGAGAATGAGAGAGAGAGAGCACATGAGAGGGGGGAGGGTTAGAGGGAGAAGCAGGCTCCCCGCCGAGCAGAGAGCCCGATGCGGGACTTGATCCAGGGACTCCAGGATCATGACCTGAGCCGAAGGCAGTCGCCCAACCAACTGAGCCACCCAGGCGCCCCTGAATTATGGAAGCTTTTAATAGGAGTTACTGAATTGGATGTTGGAATGAAATTTGAGTGGCTCCTAAAGGAGTTTTCAGGAGCTTATTGTATATGCCATGAGAGCAAGAATTTTGGTTTTGTTTGATGTATTCCAAGCAACCGGAATGGTGCCTGAGACATAGAATGGGCTTAATATAAATATTTGTTCAATAAGAGAATGAAAAGTGGGTGATACTTGCGGAGATTTTGTTTGATGGCCATGAAGCTATCATTAGCTAGCTATCATTTCTAGAAGGGCCTTTTTCTTGAGAACAGCTTAAATTTAGGCTGTTATTCAGGTTTATTCTTGACTTTCAGAGGCTAATTTATTTATAACTGTGATTAAACAGTCATATCTGGAATAAGGGAGGAGTGGGAAGGGAGGATAAAAAGGGTAAAATAGGAGATGGGATAAGTATCTCTACTGAGTGTTAGACTCTAAAATCGCTGATTGGGGAATTGGAAGAGTATGAGCTGTTTTTATCTGATTTTTAAAATTTCTTTTTACCCCAAAGAGTACAGGGGCTCAGGTCCAGGTGGCGGGGGATATGCTCCCCAACTCAACTGAGCGGGCCATCACTATTGCTGGCATTCCGCAATCCATCATTGAGTGTGTGAAACAGATCTGCGTGGTCATGTTGGAGGTAAGCCCTCAGGCTCATGCTGAGAATGGGGGGAGGGTGATTCTAGGGAAACAGACTGATCTATATTTAGTAAGACTAGAATTAGGTGAAGCTGTTAGAAGCTTCCAGTGGGGGTGGGGAAGAGGTTCCCTGGGTTCATATTTTCCTCCCCCCAGCTTTGACTTTTCTTATAGTCTGAGCAAAAATAGAAACTGTTAAGCAGCAGTCATCTTTTGGTTTATAGCAATTCTAGTAGGGTTGGTAGGGGAAGATTCACTACTTGGACTGAGTGGACAAAAGATGTAACTGGGTTCCTGAGAAGCTGAGTTAAGTTGACTTGGATTACAGTATTTTGGCTATGTGCAACTTTGACACATTCTTCGAGTTAATTTGTGTTAAGGCAGGATTATATTCAAGATATTTATATAAGAGAAGATTTATCCGTAACGGTGTTTTTGAATGATTTATGAGGTCCTGGTAGCATATGTTATTCAGTTAAAATAATAGCAAAATTAAAGGAAAATAAACCTTTTTAGAATTGTTATGGAATTGGTCCCATGTTGCATGAGAAAGGAAAGTAGGATTTTCAAGTAGAGTTTAGGAAAATGTTGACTGAACCTTTGAACTATTTTTCTTGACAGAGTATATTATCCTAGGCATAATACTGGGGTATTTTATTTCCTATTTTGGCTTCGTTTTTTTATATAGGCCAAAATGTAAGATCCTAAATTGCCAACTATATACGTACGCATAGAGGTTTGTCATGTTCATTAGGTTTATTTGAAAACGTGGAAATAATGCGTAAATTATTACAGGGGACTCTACCTTGATGAGAATTAGTGTGAGCTGTGTAGTCCATCTTAACTGCTTTAAAGGCAAATAACTACAGATGATTTGAGATTAGATCTAGCCAGAGACAACGTTGGTAGGTGAGGGGATGGAAATTAATACAGTTGTAATTTAACTGATCTGTGTGAGCTTAAGCCACACAGCTGAAGCAGCTTTGAAACCTTATCTCTTTTTGTTTTTTTCCCCTCTGACTCTCTCCCAGTCCCCCCCGAAGGGCGTGACCATCCCGTACCGGCCCAAGCCGTCCAGTTCTCCAGTCATCTTTGCAGGTGGTCAGGTAAGAAAGTTCTTATTGGTGGGCTAGAATGAACAAGGATTGTATTTGAAATGTCAACTTTGCCAGCAGCACACCAGGCCACTCTGCATGCTTGCTGAAACCTGTACTCTGGCCATTAGTTTGACCTGCTTTTAGTTTTATTTTTTTGTACTGGAGAAAGCTATGAATGCCAAGCCCTTAATTTTTAGCAGACAATGGGAGTTTTGTAGGCACTCGGAAGGGGGAATTTACTTGGTAATTTAAGGTGGGTTGGGTTAGAAGAAAGGGTAAAATGGCCTTGGTGTCACTACTTCTCTCCCTCTCCCACCACCCCATCCATGCTTTTTTATGTGTGGGGTGTTCTTTAGAGGTCTGAATAAAAGTAGCAAAGAACTGGACCTCTGAAGGAGATTCTGGATGGTGGTCTCAAAATTGGGGGGTCCTAAACTTGAGTGTCCTACAAACTTCCCCTTCCCCCCCACCTCACCTCCCCTACTCCTACCCCTTCACTCCCAAACTCCAGTGAATTGTTCCCTCAGGCTCTTAACCTCATAAACGCTGGTTTGAACCCACATGGCATAACTGAAACCAGCCGGGGTAAGGGTTCAGTGTATGAGAATAGAAGGGGGAGAGCATGTTGGGCTGTGGTGCTATGATCTTTGGTGTTAGAGTAAGAACACCAAAGCACCCCCTTGGCCTCTTTCTACTTCACCCACCTAAACTCTTGATCCTTGGCACATGGTTTATTCTGAAGTTAGATTTGTATGACAAGAGCATGGAATAGAATGATAGTTTTATGCTTCGTTGGTTAGTATTTAAGGAGTAGGTAGGTAGGTCAGTTTTGTAAATGTTGGGGTTCAGGTTGAAATAGTGACCTTCATTTTGGTGGTTGCCTAAGCAAGTGCATTGCTCAGAATGCCTTTTCCCAATGAGGGGCTGGCCTGTTACAAGCACACTTAACTCAATTAGTTCCATCTTGTGTTTGAATTGGGGGAAGCAAAAACTTAAAGTCCATCTCATTCACATTCTGTTTTGAGTTGGCATAAAACTGAACAAGATTTTGGAGACTTAGTTTGTCATGTGCTTTTGGGAGCTTTCACAAGAAATCATGTCGCAGTGCTACCTTGAGACAGTTTAGTATCTTGCCTTGTTTAAACCAGATTGGTTAAAGGGTTCTGTCAGTCTGGATAGTCAGGCAGGATAAACAAAGGCCCAGAGTCAGTATAGCAAGGAGGCTTAGCCTTAGGAGTTTTCCCTTCTCCCCAGAAACTCTAGGTTCCTGCTCTTCTGGATTCTTCCACTGCCATTTGGGATTATAAAGAGTCCCATGCTGTGCAGCAGCAATCCTATCTATAATTCTTCATTTCCCTTTCCTTTCCTCCTTTTTCCACTTCCCCCTTCTTACCTCTTTGCTTCCCCCCCTCCCTCTCCCCCTCCCCCCCCTTTATTCAGTTGACCACCCTCTAAAGGCTTGAAGCTTCTTTCATGAGTGGCCCTGATTATTCCCATGGGCCTTTTTAAATGGACTGGTTCATGCAACGTCCACAGATGGACCTGTATCTTTTGTTCCTTTGTGACAAAAGTGGGCTCTGTAGGGGTTCAACTTAATCCCACAATGACCAGTAGCTGGCATCAGCTCTGTTGCCCCATCCCTTCATTCTTACTGAAAATAGCCCAATTGTGCGGTGTGATACCTGCCACAAGGTAACTTTTTTTTTTAAATTCACTGATTGCAGCTCGTTTCAAATTGTGTCGTGAGCTCCTTTTTAAAGGAAAAGAAAAAATTAAACAACTTTTTTTGTGTGAATTTCATGCTGGTGACAAGGTGCCGGATTGACAGCCCTGGAGACTGAAATCCTCTATTTATCCACAGGACAGGTACAGCACAGGCAGCGACAGTGCGAGCTTTCCCCACACCACCCCGTCCATGTGCCTCAACCCTGACCTGGAGGGACCACCTCTAGAGGTGAGAGGGGATGTTCAGTCTCCAAGGCTCACTCAATCCTTCCGCCTCAGCCGAGACTGCCAACACGCGGGGGGCCAGTGGCGCTGGTGATTTTTATGCTGTGGACACCACCTGTCCACGGGGACCTGGACTGACCCCCCCCACCTCATTTCACACAGGCCGCGTAGCCCACCAGATGGTAACACCAACTCTCTTTTTTTTTTCTTTTTTTTTTCCTTTTTTCCTTTTTTTCCTTTTTTTTTTTTTTTTTTTTTTTTTTTGTTGTTGTTCAACCCCTCTTCCCCATCTCCCACTCTTCCTATCCCATTTTCACCTTCCTACCCCCACCTGGGTGCACTTTTGGGGGGTACTGGCCACTGTGATGTGAAAAGCTTCACATCCTGTTAACCAGCCACTCCTTCCCCTCCCTTCCTGTTCCTCCTCCTTGTCCCCCTCCCCATTGCCCTGAAGACCCAGCTCCCTTTTTGGAGGTTATGGTGCGGGGGGAGGAGGGTGTAGTGGGAGCTGCAAGTGCCTTTTATGGAGGGGGAGGTGGGAGAAGGTGCAGGGTTTAGAACACAGTGATTTGTTTTATTTATTTATTTATTTTGCATTCCTGAGGTCAGCTCCCTAGTGTTAGGTACTCTGCTAGCTTCCAGCATTTAACGTCTTTAGGCAGATGTAGAGAAAAGTAAGATAGGGATAGGGAAAGGGAAGTGTTTCAAAACATGCCACGTAGGTTTGTGCAAATACAAATCATTCATGTCACCATGACCGGTATATAAGGGTTGGGGTGGTTGAGGGAAGAGAACATTTTTCCTCCTAGGCTGTCTTGTATATAGGGAAAAAGAAGGGGGTTTGGTCAATCGAGGCATTGCTTAATCCCACTTCCCACCTTTCCATTAAGAAACAAATGTGTATTTTGCCTTGATTGCAGGGAACATGGCTCCCTTCATAGGCTTCCTGGAATAAGGCATCATATTTAGGTTTCAAAGGCCAACTCAGGTCTGACTGTGTTTGTGAGATACCATCTACTGCCTCAATCTCTGGCCTCCCCCATCTCTAGTTCAACTCTGGCTTCCTGGCCAGTTGAAATCTGTCTCCCCTTCTCCCACTGGGTGGCTGTCCGTGATTGGTTTTTTAATAGGAACTGTTTTCCTCCTTTTGTAGGCCTATACCATTCAAGGACAGTATGCCATTCCACAGCCAGATGTAAGTTTTGTCTTCACTTCTTGTTTTGAAAAGCTCCCTCTCCCATCCAAAATTGTTTCATTCTTTCTTCCACATAGGCAGAAGTGAGTTGGGTCTTAAACATTTATAGTATTTTCCTCACAAGGTGAACCTCATATTTTGGGCCTTAAATAATCTTTAATCAGGGCCACAGTAGCACCTTGTTTGCTTTTTGACGTAATCATTAGAAATTTGAATTCAGCAGATTATTAGATTCTGCTTTCCCCATATTTCAGATTATTCTATCTAAAAGAGAGAAGTGTTCCACGGTATATTGTGATTTATTATTCCAGGGCACAGTTTAAATTGACAGTGGACTGACTGTGCATCTCTTCATAGAGTCCTTTCCATGGGTGGGGGGGGTGTGTGGGAGGTTGGGTTTGTCTCTGGGTACTCCTCAATTTGAGGTGACAATTTAAAAAGCATCTGGGCGGGTGGGAAAGGGGCTTATTTTTCACAGGGAGGGATAAGCTGAATATTTGGGGATTCGACTCAATAAAACCTTTCTTGCCACTAAACACTCTATTTAAAAGCACTGGTATTCAAACTTCGTGTAAGGGCATTTCTCTCTGCACTTTCCTCTGTCATTACTAACCCTTTCAGGTGCTGAGCGTTAGACTTGGGAAGTTGGGTTTGGTTCTTGGCTTGGCCCAGGAGGGGAAGTAGCCTTGAGGAGGGATTGTTTTACAACAGCCAGGAGAGTTTATATAGGTGAAGAAAAATAGCTGTAGAAATCATTGGGAGGTGGTGGGGCTGAGCCCAGTTTGGTTTCATCTTAATCTCTCTCCTCCTCGCAGTTTCCCTGCCCCCTCATCTCCTTCCCTTCTCCCAGTACTGGAAGAACCCTGCATGGTGTGTTTCCCCTCGCACCACTGCACAGTTCGTTTACCTAGCCTGTCTGTGCTTGTCCCGGGGGCAACTGTTGCAATGGCTGCAAACACCTTCATTAAGTGGCCCACAAGGGGATGGTTGGCGGGCAGGTGCTGCTGCTCTTCTTTTCACACACACAAAATGCATTCATTCTCTTGTACTGATGCCCTTTCTATTTCTAACTCTTACCTTCATACTCTTCCCATCTCCAAGATTGTGGTATAAGTCCCATCTTTACTCTGTGTTGTAGTTTGAGTAGTAGAGTCAACTTTGGGAATCAGGAGCTCTGCATTTTCAAATTTGAATATGCTTGAGCCCTGACTCTGTTACTCTTCTAATGCCAACCTCTCCTGTTTCCTCCCTGCAGTTGACCAAGCTGCACCAGTTGGCAATGCAACAGTCTCATTTTCCCATGACGCATGGCAACACCGGATTCAGTGGTATGGATACCTCAGTGTTTATTTCTGTAAAGTGTAGTGCAAGACAGAGGCCAGCCCCAAGGTCTCAGTTTGACATCTGTTTAAAACATACTTCATTACCCAGCATCCTGCTGGTTTAAACTTGCCTGTCTTCTATCGCTAAACCGAAGGAGGTAATGTGTTTGTTAACTTGGTTTTCATTTGGGGTGAGTTATTCTTTTTTTAAAAAAAAAAAAGGCCCTGGAAGGTTTGGGGTGAGGTCTGGGGATGCTTGTCAGGCAAAGGGTAGGCTAATATTTCTTCCCATCCTCACTGCTGCCCCTTTGATCTGATTGGCACCCCCTTTCTCTCCACCAGCTATTCACAGATCTGGGTAGAAAATCCATTTGTGCCAAATTGTGTAGTGGTTTTTGGTTTTGTTTTGTTTTGTTTTTGGGGCTTTTTTTTCTGTATAAGGAATAACTTGTCCGATAGGGTTAGGATGAGACCACCAAACTCATTTTCACTTGTATCTTAACAGGCATTGAATCCAGCTCTCCAGAGGTGAAAGGCTATTGGGGTAATGATTAAAAAAAAAAATCTGTAGTATTCTACTGTTATATTAATAAACTGGTGGGAGTCTTGTTTCACTGCCCATGACATACCAGCAAGATGCACATGGCAGAAAGGAGCTGAGAGAGCAAAGGGGTGGGCCTGGTGCCCCTGAGGGTCCCTTGATGGATCTGGCCAACCCCCTTCTAAAAATGTTGAGTTTAGAGGCCACAGCTGAGAGCAGGACTAGCTTTGAGAATTAGCCAGCCAGCCTGGTCCTTTCCAGGTGTCAGTATTATTGATGGGTATGGGTGTTTGCTGATGGGATTTTTTTTTTTCTTTTTCTTTGGAAAGCAAAATAAAAACGAGAACAAATTACTGAGCAATTGAGGAAAAGACAGGGAATAAATCTGGAGAAATGAACTTCCCTCACCTGGGTGCCATTTCATTCTATTTGACCTTCAAGTGTAGGTTAGGATTGGGGGAGGTGTTAATCTGATACAGGTATATTTAAAGCAACTCTGCATGTCTGCCAAAAGTCCATGGTACCCAGTAACAGGCATGATATTGGCACTGGTGCTAGTGAGCATCAGGTGAGATAAAATTGGAACACAACAGCAGCAGGAAATCCTAAGCAGAAAAGGGGAGCAGTGCAGAAGGATTTGGTTAGATTTTGGTCCTACCACATTCCCTTGCCCCTGGCTTCCATCCACTTACACCCTAATAGGCTGGGCTTTGCAGGAAATGGCATGAAATCAGCTTTTCTGAGTTTACAGAGGAACCTTTCCAGCATTATTTCTGTACCCCTTTCCCCCTCTTTCCTCCTTGGAGGCTTCCAAGTTAGTGATGAATCCCAACAGCCAATGCTGGGTTTCCAGTTTGTTTCCTTCTGTTAGGTTAATGTGCAAATCAGTGGGGGTTTGTTTGCTATGCATTGAACTTCCTTGCTCTCTTCTGTCTTTTAGCAGGTTTGGATGCATCTGCTCAGACTACTTCTCATGAACTCACCATTCCAAATGATGTGAGTATAATTAATAGGGTTGCATGGGATAAAAATAAGAGTTGATGCAGTGTCATGCCATTCTTAAGGCCTAGGGAAAGAAATGGGGTTTTTTTAAAGATCCCAAATTAAAATTTTAAAGTATGTAGAATCATAAATAAAAACTGATGGAGAAAATAGGTAAAACTATTGTGTTGAGGTATCGTGAGGGAGAAAACCATTTTTGTCTCAGATATAAATTCCCATTGGCCTTAGTTTCTTGGATGATCTGAAGCCTTATCCTTAAAGCAGAGGCCATTGAATGTTACGTCCAACATGGTAGTCACTAACCACATGTGGCTATTTAAATTGTGAGAATAATAAAATAATCTCAATTTCTCAGTCTCACTAGCTACACTAAAGGTTTTCAATAATCACGTGTTATTAGTGTCTACAGTATTGGACAATATGAATGTAGACCAATTTTTTATTTTTTCCAGAGGCAAAAGCATTATAAATTAGGCAGAATTCTTACCAGTATATTAAAATGGTAATCATAGCAGGATGAGTTTAGGCATCTTTGTTGCCAAAAACCAGAGACCTTTATTATCCCTAGCCATGAGAAACTGGTTTGTTAGCCTGTTGGCTCTGATTTATTTTGTCTTTGGATTGGTACTCTAGGAAATGAGCTAATGCTCCTCGGAGTCAGTCCACTGAGAGTTGGCTCTGATCTGTGGTAGTAAAAATAGGGCAAGAGTGGAGATGCAATCTAGAATCAAGTTTTTTAATCAGGAGTATGTGAGTAGGGTGCGTAGGATGCGGATAGTAGTTTCCATTGCCATTATTGTGGATCCAAGCTATAGAAGACTGGAAGGGTGGGATGGAATTCTTGGATCTAGCCATGCAATGCTTAATTTTGGTATGCCTTGTTGTTTTTTTTCTTAAGTTGATTGGCTGCATAATCGGGCGTCAAGGCGCCAAAATCAATGAGATCCGTCAGATGTCTGGGGCGCAGATCAAAATTGCGAACCCAGTGGAAGGATCTACTGATAGGCAGGTTACCATCACTGGATCTGCTGCCAGCATTAGCCTGGCTCAATATCTAATCAATGTCAGGTAAGGGTTCCCTCTCTACCTTTTGTGTTATTGTTGGCAACACAAGTAATGTGTGTGTTGGGGAAAGCTACAGTGTATTACTAAATGTGGGAATATTTGGGGGATGGGAGCAGGGATGGGTGGAGATGGCAATAAAGTTAAAGTCTAGCCCTGCTTTGATCCATTCTTAAGTGTAGCAAGCAGGAAAAGTAACAAGATTGTAATAAATTTGTACGGGGGAGGGGAATAGAATGCTTGCATTTGACTTGATGGTTTTAGGCTTGGAAAGAGTAGAGCAGGTTTTCACTGGTAGGACAGTGCTCTGGCTGGAGCATCCATACTGACTAAGAAGCAAATGTGGGTCTCTTGCTGTACATGTCATAGGCCAGTATTTCATGGATGGGGTCTAGTCTCCAAAGCGCCCTAATTGGAGTAAGGATAATGAAGTAATGTGACGGCAAGGCAGTTTCTTGGAAGCAGCGATTACCATTTATTCTGAAAACATCCATTTTTCTCAAATTGCAAATTGCTCCATTGTTCAGAGCTTGTGGGAAAGGGGAGGCACAGGTTTTGGACTATTTCATAAATGCCTAGCCTCTTTCTTTTTTTGCCACCATCTCATACCATAATGGCTTCCTGAGGTTTTATTCTCCTCACCCAAACCTAGCTGATGTTACTGCACACAATAGCCATAGTGGGGTTATTCGGGGTCTGGTGGACATCCTACAAGGCATTTGTATTTCTTGCTTTCTCAGCACATTTGCTTTAGTCACGTTCTTAATTGCTTACTCACATGCTAAGCCGGGGTTAGCAGTCTATTTCCCAAGGGGCTTAGCCATCCTTTTCATGTAGATTTTTGTCTAGTCACTTACCTCTGTCATAACTGTTCATTTTTTGTTGTGCATAAAAGGTGTTCTGAGTTCCTGAATCTAGTACAGGGGAAAGGAATTCTTAAGTATGAAGTCTATTTTGTTCTGCTTATACTGACCTTGTATTTATTCCATTGTCTTTTATCTCCTGGTTAAGAATTATCAGTTCCCCAGTGGTTTTGACTTTTGCCTTAAGCCTTTTAATGCCTTGAGGTATTTACTAGTATTTATGTAGAAAGGACTCCTCTGTGTGTAGATCTGCTTCAGCTACCAAGCACATCAGATTCTTCATGTTCAGTGGGAGATGGTAGTAAGCTTTGTGCAGAGGCTGTTTGTAAAGGTTTTTCTTGTTTCTAACTGGGGTATGGGGAAGGGCGGGTGTTAAGTGGTAAGATTCATGTTCTTGGAAGCTGGGGATTGTTTTCTTCTGCTTGGGTAGGCTTGCCCTAAATATTGCCAGGTAGTGCTTATTAAATGGAAGTGGTTTGACCTTAGGACAGTGTCAACATTGTAAGGAAGTGGAATATCTCTACCTGAGTTTCCTGATTCAGTCACTTTTTTCAGGATCCTCCTTATAGGATGGTTGGCCATTTAGGGTCATCCCATTTCATGAAATCCAAACTATGGATTTGGGTCACAACTTTGTGACGCTTCATTTAACACCAAAGCAGAGATCATACATGCACAAAGCTTACTCTTCACTCTCCCATCTTGGCCCAGTTTGAACGTAAAAGCGAACTGGTTTTATTACTACTAGGCAGGAGAGATTTCTCTGCTTTCGGTAATGGATTCTGAGCATTTCTGCTCTTACTCTGTCAGCCTGAGTCCTTTCTTTATTCCCTGCTTTATAGATTGTAATTTCCCTGGACTTAGGTAAACAAGATGGAATCTTAAGAGGAGGGTCCCTGCCCTTGAGGAGTCAGTCTTGTGGGGTAGGTTGTCTGGACAGTTTTCGACAAATACTGCAGTTCTGGGTTAGAAGCGTGGGCATTTGGGAGTTGCTGATCATTATGGCTATTTGGACGTTATTTTAGGTGTAGAGGCGGTATTTTTACATTTTTAAACTAATTTTTCGGGAGTGCTTGAGTATCTTCCATTTCTGTGAGGTCTGTATTAGAAGTATGTTCAATCAAAAACAAAGGGCTTTTTATCTTCAACCCCACCTCTCACCAGAAATGAAGCTTTCTTAGTTGTTATCCACACTTTTGTTCTCAGCATTTTTCTTTGAAAATACTACATTCTTTGAAGTTTTGAAATAAGTGACCTGCTTTGGTTTCTTGTCCTTTCCCATCCTGATATATTGGTTAGTTGTATAAGATGGAAGCACACTTCAGCATTGGGGGGAAGGTTTCTAATTCTATAGAATAACATTCTACACCTTCACAGGGATTGGTGGGTGTGAGACCTTTGTTCCTTGTTTGGAGATTGCTATGAATACTCTTTCATTTTCTACTTTGAAATCATTTCTTTCTGACTCCTGGGTTGGATCCCATGTCCGATACGTGAAAGTGTGCTCTGTATGATTTCTTTTCTCAGTCTATCAGCCTTTTCTTCACCATAGCAGTTTTAAATAGCGTTGTGGAATGGGATTTGGTAAAGTATACATTTTTTAGAGGGTGGGACACAGACTGAAAGAGGGGCAGCTTATCCCAAGTTGGTATTAGGTCTTCCTAATTTGCAGCCAGAGGCACTTAACTGATAACAAGCGGTTTTTGTCCTGTACTTTTTCCCTTTTGTGGTCTTCCCTTCCACCCACCCTTTTTTTTTTGTTCCTTTTTTCCTCTGTTACAGTTTAGAAAACGCTAAACCCTCCTCCCAGGCAGCCTCCGTCACGATCCCTGATCACCTCAGCATCAACCTCTCTCAACCCTCCACCCCTTCTTCTTCTTCTTCCTCCTCCACCACCACCCCCTCGCTCGCCACAGCGGGGACCTCCGACGCACCCTCCAGCCTCCCCAACCCTCTTCCGACCGCCCCTTGTGTCTCCAGTCTGCTTGGCATGAAACCCATCCCTCTCCTGGCTCTAAATGTTGTGTCTGCTGCTAAGGGTACCGGGGCTTCAGCTACCGCCACCACCACCTCTGCCGTGCCATGTGTAACTAACAAACTGAAAGGCGAGAAACAGAGATTCTCCCCCTACTGATTGAATATCTTGAGGCACCCCCTCAAGCACTCTTGGTTCATTTTGGTTTTCTTTGTTAACATTGGTGAGAACCGAACAATTGTGAGCTTGTGACCGTTTCCTTTTTACTATTTGGGGGCATAACAGGGTGGGGGTGGGGGTAACGGTAACCTGGGGTTAGGGTTAGGCCATTTCATCTGAGTGCCTGTTTCAGAGTCTGACTTGTTGAATTCTTTATCTAGAGCCACATCTTGCTCTTCCTTTTCATTCTGTTACTTTTTTGTAGCTTTATTCTGCATTGCAATATAACAATGTGTTAGGCTCTGTGTTAATGAATAAAAGCTTCTCCATTAACCCTTTTTTTTTTTTAATTATTTAATGGTTAAGTTATCAGCAGGCCGTCTTGGCCAGATTTGTGTTTCTAGCTGTAATAAAGTTGCCACAGTAAGAACTTTAGTTGACTTTGTGCTGTGAAGGGCAAAGGGGTGGGAACTTGTGACCTGTGGCTACTCAACTAGGGAGTCTGTAAGACTCACTCGGGCCTGCTGTGTCCCTCGTGAATTTAGTAGTAGTCCTTGGTCATTCCCCACAAAAGAAGATGAGCCTGTAGCAGGTTACATCCTGAGGGTCTTCTTCATTGGCATTAAGCTGCTTTAGTGAAGACCAATTTCTCTGACTTCTCAGATCGATCCGTTGCCTTGCCAACAGCAGCAGGTAACAAGGGTGTCCATCCCAAGATTGTTTCCTCTGGTGAGTGGTTACTGTGAGGATCTTTTACAGAGCATACATATAAAGAAGTTACTTCTTGACCTAGAATGGGGAGGCAAGTTGGAAAAAGTCTAATAAAGTTTGCTGGCTTTTGTCTGCATTTCTCTGAATGAGAAGTATTCCTCTTCCTGTGACACTGGGTAAATCTTGAACAACCAACCTGTAACATCACCCAAAATTTGACAGGATTCTCCAGTCATCCTAAAGCCACCCTGATTACTAAGTCCCTTTACCCTTCCTTCCATTCCCTGCCCCCCTCCTTCTGTCTCCCACCAACCCTGTCATGAGTAGAAATTATAAACTTAGATTTAGAAGGAACCTTTAAGATCAACTGCAATTCACCAGTCCACTCATTTATCAGATTAAAAAAAAAAAAAGCCTTGGAGAATTTAAATTCACAGATCACGTGAGTGACTAATCAGCACTAACAACTTGTGCTTTACTTTTACTCAAGTGTATTTTATCTCCTTGAAGTCTTATTTTCCTTACACTAAGACCACAGCTATCTCTCCATTAAAGACTAGAAATGGTGTAGGTATGATGGCAGAAGGCCTTTGATGGTCTTCTATTCAACCTGAAAGCATATGGCTCTTCCTTAGAGCATTAGAGAATTAGTGTAGAGATTTTTTTTTCTTGTTGATCTTTTCCCACATCTCATTTGGTTTATAGTATTTAAAAAAAAAATTGCTGATAAGTATTGCAGTGTGTTGTCTCATGGCGTTGTGGTCCCTCAATCCCAGATTTGGCTTATGAAACTAGTGTTAACATGTCCCAAGGCTGCACGAAGGACTAGAGGAGCAGCCTTCTTTTCACTGTCCAGATAGTTTCCTCTTTGTTAGTTGCTGGTTGCTCCTTTGTCATATGGTCCAGCTGTCCCTTAATAAGCTCTCTCTAGGACTTAAATTTTGCTGGTACCAGCTCCCCCCAGAGACCAGGTTTTATTTTATCTAGTTCTTGATTAGAAGGAATCTTTACCTAATGAGTACTCCCTAACGGAGGAGTGCAGGGAAGGAGGCAGGTGTTTAAGATGCAGCTGCCACCACAACTTGGTGTTAAATTTTAAAAAATTTTTTGGGTCCCTCATGTCCTATTATAGAGTCCTTAGCATGATACTTCGGTTGGGTTTTCCCTTCTTGCCCTCCCTCCACCCCGTGCCTCAATCACTGTTTAGGCTGTATATAAATTCTGGATAGTTCTTTTTGAGCTCTTTTTGTTGCCAGAGTGCCATCACCTTCTTGCATGAACTTAATTTTCTTTAGGTAGGTCCTACATCTAAACTGTTTACAGCAGCTCCTTCCTGAACCTTCACTCCCCACTAAACTCTTAGGTTCGGCTTACTGCTTATATTGCCCTAGGTCATCCTATTTTGAGATTGGCAAGAATCTGCCCCCTTTAAAAGAACTAACTATATTCCTTCCCCTTAATGTTGAGGTAGAAATACCATTTCAGACTGAAATACAGTTTGTAGTTGAAGGACCTATTTCCTGGTTCTTGGGTGTTGTGTTGTCTTCTCCAGCCCCTCCGGCTTTGCATTGTTGTGGAAGGCATAGAGATTGCAAAGTACCATTCATTTTCTCTTGACTAGATACCACAAATAGGTTATGCCAGTCAGTTGGAAATCCTAATGAAATAAATTTATGAATTGAAACTGAGTCTTACACACTTAGTTCTATTCAAAGCGGGAGCTAAGATTTGCTGGGTATATAATACTCCGTGAAGCAGGCTATAAATACCTAAATAATTTTCCTTCAGAGTTCAGAATTGGGTTCCAGGACCTCAAATGATACATTTGAGACAGAAAGGCATTGTAGCTGGCTGGGTATGTTTGAATGGAGAGTTAGCTTAAGGATTCCAAGGTTTGGGAGCTTCTGGAAGGAACCAGGGAATTGTTGAAACATGCGGCTTCTGCTTTTGAAGTCTGAAGACGATAGGTTGGGTGTAATTCTTGACTATATTTACTATACCTGCTGTTCCCTTTTTAACATCCCCTAGCGTTTAAAAACTATATATTATCTCTGAATAGGAATAGCCTTCATCATGCTAGAGAACCCCAGAGCTGAAGCCTTTGTTGCTCTGTCTCAACATTAGCTTCATGAGGCTACTTTCAGATAAAGGGTTCCTAAACTGCTTTCTCTCAGTAGCTTGGGAGGAGCTAAAATAAGCTTAACAGTAAAGAAAAGGTACTTCTGTGTAGTAGGATCCTGTAAGAGGAGGTTTTAGTGTGTGGCATACTTTTGGAAAGCATTTAACATCTCCCACAGATTAGAGGAACACCCACTGTTGGTAACCAGAGTCTGTTTCCTTCAGTTCTGGGATAATTTTCCTCAGAAAGCTTGGGTTACAGGGGTTATGAGATCATGGCACCAGTTAATCCAAGAAATCTTAAAATGCCCCCCTTGACATTGAAAGTTTCGGAGGTGAGGTACATACGCTGGGCATTCAGAAAACTAACTTTGAGTTCTTGTTTATTTTTTGTGTTACAGGCTTTCCTCGGAGACGGGTGGCATGGGGAGCAGCTAGAACAATGCAGATTCATCCATAATCCCTTTCTGCTGTTCACCACCACCCATGATCCATCTGTGTAGTTTCTGAACAGTCAGCGATTCCAGGTTTTAAATAGTTTGTAAATTTTCAGTTTCTACACACTTTATCATCCACTCGTGATTTTTTAATTAAAGCGTTTTAATTCCTTTCTCTGTTCAGCTGTTAATGCTGAGATCCATATTTAGTTTTATAAGCTTCTCCCCCCCCTTTTTTTTTGGCTCATGAATTTTTTTTTCTGTTTGTCATGGAAATGTAAGAGTGGAATATTAATACATTTCAGTTTAGTTCTGTAATGTCAGGAATTTTTCAAAAAAATTAAAAGATGGACTGGAGCTTTTTCTTTGTGAATAGAAACTGGATGCCACAGTGATTCATGTGGGTTTTATTCCTGTTGTCTTGCTGTTCTTTTTGCACCTTTTATGCCTCAAAGGACAAGGACCCTGCTTGGGTTTTGAATATAAGCCTTTATTCCATTAAGATGTTACCTTCTGTTTTACCACTCCATCTTTTTTTTTGTAGTCCTTGAACTAATTTTCCCTTTATCCTGCCTTGCAGAGTAACCAAATAGCTGTCGCAAGCTAGCTGTGTGCCCTTTGTCCGAAAGTGCGGGGGTCACGTTTACCTCATTTTCCTAGGACTGGTCTGCAAAGACTAAGAGCACCTCCACTGGGTGGGCAGGGCCTGGGGAGGGATGCACGTGCATACTGTGGAAGCAGTTGGATGCATTGCCGGGCATGTCTGACCCATCCTTGGCCAAGCTGAAAACCAGTCTCTTGTTTGGAATAACTGTTCATTTACAGTTCTCTCCATAAGAAGAATGTGTGTTTTGACATTTTCTGTTTTCCTACTAAAGTCCTTCCAGAAAGATGTACCTGCTACCATTTATGCAGATCATTTTAGAAGGTTGGAACTTTAAGTGATGTTCATTTAGTGGGGAAAAACATAAAAGGAGGGAAGAACTTGTCCAGAGTCCTCAGATAATGTCTGGAGCCCAAGGCTCCTACTTTGACCATGTGTACTACCCCATACATTCGCCAAGAAAACCCTCAACAGCTGGGCCTGCATGGAGTGGTTATATTTTAAGATTTTTTCACAGGGGTTACAATATGACAGTCCCCACCCCAGTCAGGCGCCAGGATAAAAGCAGGGACTTAAAACATCATCCCCTTTCTTCAGCCTGAGCCATCACATGCTTTCACAATCTCCTAAGCTCCCCCTAGGCCCTAAGCCAGGGCTTGGGCAGAGAAATGGAGGGACAAAGAAATTAGTTACATCGCCACCTGAGAAACCTCAGAGGGGAGGACCCAGCCTTCGCCTCCCTCCTCCCAAGTGCAAAATGTGTAAACAGAGTAAACGGAAAACAAAAAAGTGCAGTCTAAGTGGCTCCCTTTCCTCCTCCCCAGGGTTAGGGGGAAAAGAGTATAGAGGAACATAAGAGGCAAGTCTGGCTTTTCTATTGCCTTACCGCTCGCTGAACATAATGGGGTGAAGCAGGAAGGGGCCAGTTTGCCCGTACCCACAGCTCTAGGGTAATACTTGTCCATTTCCACAGCTGCCGGTAGCCCTAGAATTTATCAGGTGAATTGGTCAGGGGTCAGACTCCCTTGAGCCTGACTTAAGGCTGGGACAGCCCCATCTTTCTCTGTTGATTATGTGGCGCTTATATATTATTTATATAAATAATTTCTCTATGTACAGGAGTAAGAGTGGTTTTCATGGAGGGAGGGAGGCTGGAGGCTGCAAGGCTTCACCACTGTTGGAGTTGTCCAGTTCAGTGCTGTCACAGTCTGAGTCCTCGTTATTGGGAGGGCCCTGTGAAGAAGAGTAGAAGTGCAGTGAGGTGAGGCTCGGTAGCTCTTGGCGTTACGGATGGATTCCTTCAGGATCCTTCACTGAGGTCTTTGTAATAGCCCGCAGCTCGCTGATTTCACGGTCTTCGGATTTCAGTGGCTGAGGCCATGAAATGCCAAGGCACCAGGTTCCCGGTGTCAGGATTTGTCCCGGCTGGGATTTCGAGCTATCGTACAAGCAACACTGCTAACCTACGAACCATACCATACGCTCTATACCTTGGGCCTCTCAAAGTCTGCTCTGTGGATATTTGCTCCTTGGTACGGGAGGAACTGGGCTCCCATACTGAGTGACTTGGAGGCTAAATACCTGTCTTTCTGCTGTCTTCATCTATCCGTTAGGTCCTAAGTAACTAAGCATCTGCTCCTTAAAGTATCTAGTTGTCTCTGTGACTCACCTGCTCCCCTCTGGGTAGGTCCTGGTGTGGGATGGGTTGGGAGCTGGGTTCGGGGCCAGGAACCACCTCTGATGCAGGTGGGTCCAGTGGGATTTCTGAGCCCTGGGAACACATGTCATCAGACCGCTCATCTGGCCGCTCGTCGGTGTTGGTACTGCCAACTTCAGGTGTACCACTGGGGGAGGGCTCACTGGCTGTGCCCTCCTCCCCATCAGATGGATTCTCGGAGCTGAAGGTGGACAGTGACTGGCGCATGTTCAGGCCTTGAGGCCACCTGTGTGTTGGAGAGGCCGGGGTCACGGTTGGCACACCGCAGCCCCCAAAGCAAAACACTGTCACCCCTCCCGTGCTGTGTCACTCACCTCTGGCTTGAGGGCAGCTCTACCTCACTGTCCACCTCTCCTTCCTCTTCCTCTGATGAGATGCCACGTTTCTGCAGGAGAGAGGAGTGGACTGTGGTCAAAAGCGGAAAGAGGTCAGCAAGGGCCCAAGAGAAGGGAACATAGTCAAGGGGTAAGTAGGGAATGGCTTCAGATGAAGACCTGATACAGGAGATGGGCTATGGACGAGGGCCCCAGGGAGAGGAGGAAAGGGCAAGAGCTTCAGCACGCCCCGTACTTTACCTGGCTCCGGGTGACGGCAGCCCTGTACAGCAGCGCGGCTGGGGTCAAGTGCTGGGACCCAGCCCGGCTTCCTCCCCGTCCCGCCGTCCCTTCCCTTCCAGTTCCCAGCAGCCCCACAATGTCACCAGGCCCTGCTGGTGGAGGTGGCTCCCCTTTGGCTCCCCCAGGTGAATCTGGGCTGGTGGAGCCAGGTGCTGAGCCCTCACTTGGCGGGGTGTCTCCCCGGGCTGGAGGCGGTGAGCCAGGATCCCCAGCTCCCCCTGTGGCCCCGCGGCCCCGGGCTCCCAGTGCTGCTGACAGCAGATCCGGGGACGATGAAGACATCTTTCGCAGCAAGAGGTCATGGTGGAGCCCACGCAGGGCCGGAGGGCAGGCCTCCCAGGCTGAGGGTCCCCCTCCTAGCCCCCCTGGGCTGCCTAGTCCCCCAGGTTCATGGGGTGGCAAAGCTGCACGAAGCCCAGGCAGGTCTCCACAGCTGCCCTTGGCGCTGGCCTTGCGGTGACGAGTCTTGCCACGACGACTCCGTCCTGGTGAGGGGGGGCCCTTAGGACACCCGGGAAGCCCCACCCCACTCAGGGCAGCATCAAGTTTAGGTAGCAAAGATTCAGTCTTGAGGATATCTGGCCTGGTAGGGGAGGGAAAGTACAAGTCTGAGATGAGCAAAGTTACCAACCTGAAAGCCCTCCCTAACCTCGGGTAGTACAAAGTCCTTCTCCCCCCCCCCCCCCCCCCGCCCCAGCTCAGTCTTCTGGGCATCCTTGCTCTCCATCCCTGCTTCTAGCACTCCCCCTGCCATTCTTAAACCTCAACACTTCTAAACTCTGGTCCCACCTTTTACTGTGGGGTGACAGTTTCTGTGGGACATTCCTCTTCTTGATGAGCTTCTCCATCGTGTTCCCATGCAGGAGGCCTCGGGAAGGGTGTGACTTAAGCAGACCTGGGCATCTCCGCTCTAAAGCTTGTTCTCTCCTAAAGACAACATAACCTCAATTGGGCATGTGATCAGACAGAAAGGGGGACCCAGGCTCAGTAGGTTCTCTGTGTCACAGCTCCATGAACACAAGATTTGGTGCACAGGGCGCGTACGATTACCTGAGCAGCTCCCGCTCCTTGAGCTCCAGCTGCAACATGAGGGCATTAAGTTCCATGTACAAGTTGTTGGCTCTCTCCAGCTTCCGTTCGTAGTGCTCCCTGATGTCCAAGGCGTGTCTGAAACAGGCAGAAGGGTCTCTGAGGTGAGCTAGCATCACCTGGTGCCGTAATTGGTCCCAGTCTCTGGGAACTGGTCCACGGTCCCTGCTGTTGACGAAATCCCCTTCCCAGACACAGGCCCACACCTGAGCTCCTCCCTCCTCCGCATCACCAGCTCCTCTTCTAGGCGGTGCAGACAGGTCCCTTCTGACTTAATTTTTTCAAAGTGCAGCTTTACCTCTTCACGCCACTCTGCCTAGGGGGTGAAGAGACAGGGGTGAGGGACCTCCCTTGAGCTGCAGACAGGGAGCCAAGTAGGAGCAGGCACGGGACTGGTCAGGACGGGGTCTCGGCCCTTAAGAGTGAACCTACCACTCTGTCCGCCCCTCCCCACCTCCCCTCAGAGGGCCTCGTCCTCTGCAGACGGGGGAGTTGGGGTACGCTTTTTCCCCGCCCACAGCACACCTGGGACTTAAAGTAAGTCTCCTGGGGCGTGGAGAGGACGTCAGCCGAGGCGATGTCCAGGTGCAGCAGGATCTGGCGGAACGACGGACGATTTCTTGGTTTGCTGTTCCTGGAGGGCATGGAGTTTGGGGGAGACGGAAATTTTAGGGACGACCAGAAAGGAACTAGAGCATCCTTTCCCAAAGTGGGCCCTGCAGAACAGCATCCTGGAATGTGCTCTGTGACCGAAGCCCCTTGTCCACTAGCTTTACTATCCGTTAGTACATCGAAGCCTGCAGTAGGGAGACCTCTTTAATCCTATTTTCCAGACACCTTTTTCTGAGTAACTCCATTCAAAGAAACACACTTTGGGAAATGGTTAACCAAAGATTAGAAATCTAGTCAACCTCCCCTCAAGTCTAGGTTCCAAGCAAGGCTCGAGGACCCTCCTTCCTGTGTTCTAAGGCAGCCAACTCGAGGCTCCAGCCGCCCTTCACAGGTGCACCCCGGCTGCTCTGGCTAGCTGGGACTGGTGTCCCCCTTTTACACACCAGGAAATGGGCTCAGGGAGGATGGCACTTGCCCAAGGCTGCACAGAGTTTTGTCTCAATCATACGAGGGAGTTGTGTCCCTCTTGCCCTGTTCAGGATTCTGGGCCCGGAGGCCTGGGTCCTAGGTGCCGTCTAACCGCCAGAAACCAGCCGTGGCTTTCCAGCTTTGCCAGGCCGTCCTTACCAACACTGGCGAAGCAGGATTTTGAAGCCGTCTGGGCAGCTGGAGGGCACAGGCAGATGGAGACTGTTGCTCCCCACACCCCAGATGATGGCTGAGGAGTCTACGTCTTTGTAGGGGATCTCACCAGTCAGCAGTTCCCACAGCACCACACCAAAGGACCTGGGGAGGAGAGGGGACATCCCTTGGGAGGGGCTCCCTCCAGAGGCCCTGGAAGCCCCCTCCTTCCCTGGGGTTGGCCACCTGCCCGTCTCCGTCCTCAACCTGGCCCTCACCAGATGTCGACCTTCTCGGACACGGGCTCGTTGCGGATCACTTCAGGGGCCATCCAGGCTACCGTCCCTGCAAAGGACATCTTGGTGCTCTTGTCACTCAGCTCCTTGGAAGTGCCAAAATCGGAGATCTTCACCACATCGTCGTACGTGATTAGCATGCTGGTAAAGATTGTAGTCAGCTGGGGGCCAGGCCCCTCCACACCTCATCCAGCTGCAGCAACTCTAACTTTCTCTTTTAAGTCATTGGGGACACCCAGAGGCCGGGGGCTTGCCACAGCCCTCCCGAAATAGGGCTGTCATTTGGGAGGGGTTTTTGAGATGGCCACACGGACTTAGGACAGGGTCTGGAAGCAGGGAGACGGCTACACTGACAGGTGAGGTCACCTGCAGGAGACCATGCACATCAGCTTCTCTGTGCTTGCTGGCTTACTCACTTGGGGGACTTGAGGTCTCTATGGATAATCTTGTGCAGGTGCAGGTAGTTCATGCCACCGGCGATGCCCATGGACCAGTCAACCAGCAATGAGGGGGTGACAGGGCGGCCAGCCCGCAGTACCTCATACAGCTGGCCCTGGGCGCAGAACTCCATGAGGATGCAGTAGCAGGGAGCCTGGGTGCACACGCCCCTGGGGGCCAAACAGTGGCGTCAGGGCCTGGGCCAGCCTTGCGTGCCCCTGATTCACACTTGGAACCCCGTTCCCACCCAGCCCCTTTGGGCATCGCCTTTAGGGAAGGCGGGGGGCCTGACCCCTGCCGCCCAAGCGGCTCCCTGCCCACAGCCCCGGCTCCAGCCCCTGCCCCGGACCTTACTTGAAGGTGATGATGTTGGGGTGCTTCAGCTTCCGCAGGTGCTTGATGTCCGTCTCCTTCAGGTCGCGTACCTTCTTCACAGCCACCTCCTCCCCGTGGAAGCGCCCCAGGAAGACAGCGCCCTGGGCCCCTGAGCCCACCCACTGCAGGTCCAGGATCTCCTCAAAGGGGACCTCCCAAAGGTCTGTGAACAGGAGACGCAGTGCCACAAGGCTCAGAGAGAGCCACGCCAGGCTCTCAGGATGGTCAGGCCCGGGGAGAGGCCGAGTCATAGGACTCGGCGGCCGAGGCCGGAAATGAGCCGCAAGAGGCCAAGGCGGCGAGGTCTGAGGGACCCGGTGAGGAAATGAGCGGGCGCCCTGCGGAGCAGGGAAGCCCAGGGCCCATGGGCGGAGGAGGGGCCGCGGCTGCGCTCTAGGGGGACAGGGTCCTCGGGCGATGGGATGGGGCTGTCCGACAGATGGCGGGGAGACGAGGGCTCGGCCTACCTTCCTGCTGCTGCTTGTGCTCTGTGGAGTAGGCTTTGCCGATCATGGTCCAGACGGGGCGCAGGCAGCCGAAGAGCCCCTCCAGGAAGCCGCTGCCGCTCTGACACTGCAGCCGCACCTCGTCGGCTCGGGCGCGGGACGCGCGGCTCTCAGGCGACCCCGGGGCTCCCCCGGGGCCCCCCGCGTCCTGCTCGTGCAGCTGCAGGACACTATTGGCAAAAGGCTCAGGGGGCGGCTCTCCACCTGGGGAGGGGCTCGGGCCGCCCCCCCCCTGCCCACCGAGCGGCACCACATCTCGAAGCACACACTGGGTAGGCGTCAGGTCCTTCTCCGGGGTGCAGTCGGAAGTGTCCGGGTCGAGCTTGCGCATCGACGCCTCGCTTAGGGTGGACACGAAACCCCCGAAGGAAGGGGAGGGCGTGCGGGTCTCATGGAGGCAGGCCATGGCCTCTGGGCCCGGGGGCGGTGGCGAGCGCTGGGCCCTGTGGGAACGGAGCGAGGCCGGGTGGTCAGCCTGGGGTGCGCCAGCTTGGAGGGCCTCACCTTGGAGGCAGAAGCCTGGTGGGGGAGCTGGGCTCCCAACGGCCCTACTGGAAATAGCACTTGAGCTTCACTCGCCTCAGGTACCCGTCGCTCTCCGCGTCTCACCTGGGACCCATCTTGGTCACCTGATACACGGGCTTCTCTCCAGCGTCTATTAGTAACGTACCTGAGGGTCATCCTCACGTAGACACGGGGAAGAGCCCTGCTCAGGTACGGACTGGTAAGATCGGTCGGAAACTCGAGTACTGTGGTAAACAGGCTCGGCCCCTTCTCCTTGTAAGATGACTGTAGTTCCCCTCTGGAGCTCATATTTCTGTCACCCGAAGCTCCCACGCACACGCGGAGGGCACCGAAGCGTCTCGCAGACACACACCGTTTGCCCAGCCTTAGGCACACGATAGTAACACCCCTAGGTCTCCCTCACCCTGAAGCACACCCAGGTGACACGCAGGCACTCCGAGCTGACGTTCCTGGGCCTCCACAGGCTAGTGAGGCACCTGGGGCTCCCCCTCCAGTACTTACACGTGAGACGGCCGAGGCCCCCCAGGAGCACTAACCTCACGTGAGGGTCATCCTAAGGCACACTCGGGGCTCCCATCTGGGTCTCCCTCTCCAGTGCTCACAGGCACACACCTGGGCCTCGCCAAGGTAAGTGAAGCCTGCAACCCATCAGCTCTCCTATCCCCCGGCATAGTCGGGGGTGGGGGAGGGGGAAACAGGGCAGAACCATCCAGTGGGGGATACGGAAGCGGTGTCAGGACAAGCGGGAGCCTACTGCTTCATCCCCCTCTGCCCTGACGTCTGTTCTGCTATTCCCCCAGGGGGTCAGTTACAGAGGCCCTGTCTCCTTTCCTCTTCTCCACTGCCCCATCCCCAGCTCCCAAACCAAGTACCAGCTTTCCAGACAATGGAGAATTGTCCCGATTCTCATAACTAGGTGCTATTTAAAAAGTAACCATTAAAAAAAATCTGAATTCTAGGGACGCCTGGGTGGCTCAGTTGGTTAAGCATCTGACTTCAGCTCAGGTCATGATCTCAGGGTCCTGGGAGCGAGCCCAGCATCGGGGCTCCTCACTCAGTGGGGAGTCTGCTTCTCCCTCTTTTTTTTAAGATTTTATTTATTTGACAGAGGGAGAGTGAACGAGAGAAAGCACAAGCAGGGGTGTAGGAGAGGGAGAAGCAGGCTCCCCACTGAGCAGGGAGCCTGATGCGGGGCTCAATCCCAGGACCTTGGGATCATGACTTGAACTAAAGGTAGATGCTTAACCAGCTGAGCCACCCAGGTGCCCCTCAAATAAATAATTTTTTTTGAAGATTTTATTTATTTGACAGAGACACAGTGAGAGAGGGAACACAAGCAGGGCGAGAGGGAGAAGCAGGCTCCTGGCTGAGCAGGGAGCCCAATGTGGGGCTTGATCCCGAGCCGAAGGCAGACGCTCAGCCGACTGAGCCACCCAGGCGCCCCAATAAGTTTGTTTGTTTGTTTTTTTGACAGAGTGCACACAAGCAGGGGAAGCGGCAGGCACAGGGAGAGGGAGAAGCAGGCTTCCTGCTGAGCAAGGAGCCAGACTGGGACTTGATCCCAGGATGCTGGGATCCTGACCTGAGCCGACTGAGCCACCCAGGTGCCCCAAATAAATAAAATCTTAAAGAAAAATCTGGGGGTGCCTGGGTAGCTCAGTGATTAAGCATCCAACTCTTGATTTTGGCTCAGGGTCTGAGATTGAGCCCTGTGTCAGGCTCCATGCTTAGAGGAGTTTGCTTCTCTCCCTCTCCCTGTGCGCTCTGTCTCTCTCAAATGAATAAATGTTTAAAAATAGGATCTCAATTCTAGCCTTGCCTCTTACCACATACTGGCTGTGTGACCTCGGGCAAACCGGATCTGGGCCTCAATTTCTCCATCTGTACAAAGGGATAAACTAGCTGTCACTCAGGCACAGCGAACTCTTCAGTCTATACCAAACTTGTCCAGAGCTTGGCATCTGGAGTCATTCTAGCCTTCTATCTCCCTCCACATCTCGTCAGCTAACAAATCATGAGATGTGAGGATTCCTGAGGACAGTGATGCTCTAACTGTTCCTCATAATAGGGTCCTTCCTGAACGCCTGCCATCAGAGCCTCCGAATCACCGCGGGAGAGGAGTGACAGGAATCTACACATAAAAAGGGGGTCACCGGATGATGACACAGACCGACACAGAGGTTTGGCACTTCTGATGGTATCAGCTCTTTTAAGACATTTTCCAGGCTTCTCAAGGATTTTTCAGTGGCTCTGGGTGGGCCTGAAATCTGCATATTTAACAAGCACCTTAGGTAATTCCTACTTGAATTTGGCCCATTTGAAAAGCTCTGACCCAATGCTGGTCTGTTCTCTCCAGTCCCATCTTACTGTCTTAATTCAGTCCTCTTCATCTGTGTCAGCTAGCCCAGGACTGCCTCTTAGTCTCCCAATACTTACACAGGCCCCCCACCTCCATTTTCCACCATCCTTTAGAAGGATCTTCCTAAAACACAAATTGGCCAGCACCCCCTCTTCTGCTTCAAACCCTTTAATAACCCCCTACTGCCGTTGGTGCCGCAGCCTTATCTCCATGCTCTGGTCGCTCCCCAGCCTCGTCTCCCACCGCTGTTGGTACCCGGGCCACACAGAACTGACATCAGGCTACAACAGGCTTTGTGCCAGGGCACCTAATGAGAATGGCTAACTCTTAGGGAAGGCTTACTATGTACGTTAGCCTCTGTCCATAGGCGCATTAGCTCATTTAATCCTCAAAACGAAACTCACCCCAAGAGACAGGTATTGGATAATCTGCCCAGGGTGCCCTCTCCTAGGAAAAGGCTCAAGCTCCGCCCCGGGCGTTCTCTGCATGGAAGGCGCCTCTCATGCCCTAGCTCTCCAAATCTCACTTCATCCTGCAAGTCTCCCTCTCTGCGCATCCCCCCCCCGCCCCCCGCTCTGAGCTGATGTCCCTTGTGGGCTGGCACGGCCCCCTGTACCTCCTCCGTCATGGCTCCCATTATCCTGGAGGTACTGTGTGCTCAGGCGCCCGGCCCCTCTGACAGCCTGCACTCCCTGAGACCCCGACGCTCCCGCAGGGATCCCAGGCTTCGCACAGCACGCGCGCGCAGGCAGGACGGTCGTCTTAAAGGCCGCCCCTACCCTACGGACGCAGTAGCTCCTTGGCTCTTCACCACCACCCAGGGAAGGAGCTGTTACCGTCGGTCCCTTTATATTCTTGAGGAAACTGAGGCTCAGAAAGCTTAAGTCACAGTCAGATCCAGCCTCTGAATCCTCAACATAGCCTACGAGATAGCGGCGCCGTGGAGGGACTGGATGTACACCGTAAGGCCAATGACAAACACAGGCAAAGAATTTACTCTGCAGGATCCTAGGGCTTTCGCCTGCGCCCCCAAGCCGGGCCTCGCGGGCGCTCCCGCCGGGCTGGCCGGCCAGGAGGGCAGGCTGGATCGGGCCGTCCGCGGGTCCCGCGGGAAGCCCCAGCAAGGGCCCTTCGAGGCGGGGAGGAAGGGGTTACGGCCCCAGCGCCCCCTCCCCCTTCCCGACCTCCTTCCCGGCCGTCACGTGGCGCGGGGCGCGTGGCTGGAACCGGGGCGGGGGCCCGGCTGCGGAAGGAGGGGTCCGGGTGGGGAAGGGGAGGGGACTCAGCGAGTTGGGGGAAGCGCTGGGCGCTGCGGCGTAACCATGACGACTGGGCCCGAGGCGGCGTGTGAAGTCACCAGGACAAGATTAGCCCAGAGTCACGTGAGCGGCGGGGGCGGGGCTGCACCTGAGCTCCGCCCCTGACCCGGGCTGGCCTAGGCGCTGGTGGCCGGGATGGCTGCGGGGGTCGCCGGCGTGGACCCCCTGCCCCTTCATCCGGCCGCCTGTGTGCTGCCCGCCTTCGCATACCTCCCTCGACCCCTCATGCAGACAAATCTTGGGCCCGGGCACCGAGCGGAGGGAGAGCGATAGGTGTTGGAGAGAGGGGACTTGGGTTGGCCTTGGGGCAGCAGTGCCACAGAGAAAGCAGGCGATGGGGAGATAGGGAGACGGACACAGAAAGGGCGACAGGCACACCCAGAAAGCGGAGGGGGTGAAGGGGGGGCGCAGCGGAGAGATTCAGAGACGGAAACAGTAAAGAGCAGGGAGAATCAAATGGGAAAAGGATGGATGGAACACCTGAATTTGAAAAGCAGAGAGGAAACAGAGAAAGTAGCGGAGAAAGAACCGGAAAACGCGGAGACCATCTGTGCCCTTCCCAGTTCTTTCCTATTTAGAAGCTGAGCCTTGACTAGGCACAACACCTGGATTTTTAAAGGAAGTTCTCAGTCTTCATGTGGTGTTTGGCAACTAGGAGTTTTAGGCAGAGAGAGGGTGACATGCTCAGGCACTTGCCGCCAAGCCTCCCTCCAGTTCACCAGGCTTCCCCAGAGGCCTCGCTGGTATCCAGGGCTAGCAACTAGGGAGACAGGGAGAGAAGCCATTTCACCTGTTTGTCTTTTAGGGCAGTGGGAGTACCTGAAGAAGTAGAAGATGTGATCTGGGGAAAGGGAGGGAATCTAGCCAGGCTCCTCAGGCCACCCCCATCCTGTTCTTAGGCTAATACAGCTCCTCCAGATTGACCTGAGGGAGTCGGGGAAAGCCAGGCCCCAGGGAGCTACAGTCAACTGGAGATTCCTCTCCCAACACACAGCCCCTCTCAGTTTCCTTTATCTCTGACCTGCCAGCTGTGTCCCACTGCCCCCCAGCTGGGCCCTGGCGCCGGGGCTTTGGGGGCATATCATGCTAGGAGCCCCTGGCCTAGACATTCGGTCACCCTGGGGGAGGGGAACTGTCTCCCTGGCCATCAATTATGCAGAACATGGAGGAAGGGCAGAGATGTGACAGGAGGGGGTGGATATCTCCATCATTCTGTCAACCATATTTACCAAGTGCTTACTGTGCAGAATTCCAGATTGGGTGAGGGGACAGCGTGGTCCCTAAACTATACATCTGCCAGGGAAAGAGGCTCTCTGGACATCCTGGGAGGTCCTAACTCGGTTTCAGCTACCTGATTCTCTGCTGGTGATTCCCAGAGTGCCCCTTCAGGAGCCTGTGGTGGAGTGGGGGCAGGGAGGTCCCCCTGTTTATTCCTCCTCCTGGGTTCTCCTGCCTGAGGTGCTGGAAGCTTATGGCAAGGGAACCCTCTGAATTCTTTCTCCTACTGTCCTGTTCTAACAGCAGGATCTCAAGGCCGAGTTGCATGTCTGGCAGTCGTGGGGGCTCAGCTGAGAGGCCAGGCCATCTGTCTAAATTGTGGGTTCTCACACTGAGCACTCACCACTGTCCTGGACCTCAGTTTGCACTCAGGAAAAAGGAAGATTGCCCTTTTCTCTTGAGTGATGGTGGCAAGGAAAGTCTTCACAGGGAAAGGAAACCCAAAATTCTGGGGGGATGCTAGTTCCACCTCTACAGGCTTTGAGATCCTGACTGGACAAAGGACCGTGACCCCTCCTGACCTTGCCTCCTGGCCACTGGCTGTAGCTGTTTTTCTTTTTGGACACAGGATTCTTCTCAGATGGAAAGCACTACAGCTTTCTCAGTGCCTTCATCAGGGGGAAATGTCTTCCCCTGAGAATTTGGGGTAAACTGGAGATCACCTGTAAATCCAGCCCCCCCCCCACCTCATACAGGTCAAGCCCTGAGACCCCCCCTCACCACCACCACCTCTTCTTCCCATCAGCTGGGCAGTGACAGGGGGTGATGCTAATTAGGGAAAAAGCAAAACTTTGGATTTGGAGAGAGCTGTTTTGCCACGAGTTAAAGAATGTTACCCCTCCAAGTCTCCCAAGCCTACCTTCTGGGGTGGGGACGGTTAAGATGATGTGGGGAATGCCGTGAGCACAATGGCTGGCTCCTGGCTCTGTCCTCCTGGTTGGCTGGACACCAGGTCTGTCTTTGTGGATTCTGGAGAGGCCATCTCTTCTGTCTGACCAGAAAAAGGGAGACTGGGTCTCTGACCTTCTACTTCCACAGGACATTTCTCAGTCTCGGGTTCCAGGGAAACCAGGTCACAGTGGCAGTGGGGCGCTGGAGTCCCCAGTCACTACTCTCTTTGCTTCCAGACCCTCAGTCCTTCCTCTGCAGATCCTACCATTCCACCTCCTGTGGACTAAGGGAGAAGGCCTGCACTACATACTCACCCCCTGGCCAACATGGCCCAGGGTCATCCCTCAGCCCTACCCTTTAAGGTCAGAATGAAAGGGAAGGGAAAGGAGGGGGTAGGAGCAAGGTATGAAGGGCCACAGCATCCCTCCTACTAAGGCCCTCAGGTGGACCTGAAAGAAATTCAGCACAATTAAGCAAATAGTTCCTGAGGTGGATGTGCATTTAAAAAGATGTGGAAGACAAAAAATTATAAAGAAATAAAGATATAAAAAGATCTGGAAAGACAGATACCAACGTGTAACAGTTTCTAGGTAGGTGGAATTGTGGGTATTTTTATTTTCTTCCTGTGGCTTATCTATATTTTCTAATATTTCAGTAATAACTTTGAATTGCTTTTAAAATCATAATAAATCAATTTTGAACTGAAAATGAGGAAATAAAAATTAGCGTGCCCATCCGTTCCTGTCACCTGGCTTGGGACAGTGGGTGAGTGGGTAGCCTGGGAATCAGAGAGGCTTGGTTGATGTCCTGTCTCTGCTCCTCACAAGGCAGGCAACCTGGAGTAGGAGACTTCTGAACAAACCTGTCTCTTCTTTCTGAACTGGAACTGAGGTACCCCTGTCATACAGTGGTTGTACAGTCTAGAACACGGTGGCTCTGGATCAGACGGGCCTGGGTTCAAGACCTAAGCTCTTCCCCCAAACTGCTTTTCTGACTTTGAACAGATTACTTCTTTAAGTTTCCGTTTCCTCATCCCTAAGACAGAGATGATGAGAACACTCTTCAACTCTTAGTCTTGTTGTAACACTAGTGAGATAATCCCAGTAAAGTTCCTGGCCCAGGACCTGGCACACAGGAAGATCCCTAGAAACACGAACCATGCTGAAAGTGCCTAACAAGCAGGAGCAGGGTTTCTTTTTATAAATATGATTCCCCTCCCTTCTTCCCCTTTTCCTTGTCTGCAGTAGAGAGGGTACAGGTGGAAAGGGAGGTGGGCAACACAAGGGGAAAAAGGAGAGCAAAGAAAGAAGGAACCCAAGGCCAAGGGCTCTTTGTCCTGGGTGATCCTTAGGCTCCTCTGCCATAGTGTCCCTGCCTCATCACCTCCCCCCAACACAAAGATGACCCTGGTCCTTCTAGAAGCAAATGAGACAGAGAGACCAGTCGCTGTGGCCAACCTCTCATGAAGCCCACGTGTCACCTGCTGGCCCGTCTCCACGGTATCCTCCTTCTGCCCCAGGAGGGACTCCTAGTCCCTTCCTCCTCCCCAGGCCAGGCGGGGGGTGTTGGGGGGTACTGCATGTGAGATGCCACTGGGTGAGTCTGGGGTGGTGGGTACTAGGATTTAGGGTCCTCTTCTTGGCAAAGCCAGATGACCACATTATCACCTCCAGGAGAAGGACGGGGAACCAGCCGTTGGTTTTGAGAGGGGTCCTGCCATCCTTAGCTGTAGGGACACACAGGACGTCCAAAGCCAGTCCTTACTTAAACTTCTTGCCTCCTCTGCCCATAACTGGGTTTAATTCGGGGATGGGTATTTAGTTGTGGTTCATGGGGGCTGGAGTTGGGGTATCACACCTTTGGTCTCCCCAGCATCACCTCAGTTCCCACTGGGAGAATGGGTGAGTGGCAGGCTCGAGAAGGCAAGCACTTTTGGCCACCCTGAAGTGTGAGATGGGAAAGAGCAGGCCCTGATGAAGCTCTAGGAAACTTTGCTGTCTGGACAGGAAGGCCAGGGAGCGCTTGAGCCCTTTCCTTCCAGAATCCCTTGTGCTTGCCTTCCCTTGGTGTTACCCTTGGGCTGACAATCAGAGCTCCCCAGAGACACGAAGTCCATCCTGCGAGTTGGAAGGGAAATGTCATTTGGAGGGAGGCACTGGTTGTGGCTCAGAGGACTCTGGGTGGGGGAGAGACCTCAGGCACATGCCTTCTTGGTTGAGAGCCACCCACCCACTCTTCTCCCAAGAGGGAGCAGGTGTGGAGTTAAAGTCCCCAAAGGTGGGACTCCTCCTTCTATGTTAAGGGACACCCCACCAATTTCCTTCCACTGTGTACAGAGCCTCTGACCCCTTCTCTTCCCTTCCCTCAGCCAAGGCCATAGTTATCAGGAGTCACAACTGTGTGAAACAGATTCTTTCTTATTTTTCAGCCAAGGAGTTTGAGAAATGTGTGGGGGAAAGGGAGGAGGTTCCTGAAAGGCCTGGGCTGGGGAATTGGGTTAGGGGAGCCAGAGGAGATGGAGAGAGAGGGAGAAAACCACAAATGAATGGGGGAGGGGAAGAAGCAACAGCTGGATGGAGAGGGTGAATACCACAGCTGGAGGGGATTAGGGGCATCAGCGGGAAGGGGAAGAGGGCCATCACCTGGGCATCCAGGAACAGGTGCTCTCAGCCCATAATCCTCAGGTGCAGAGGGCTGGGTAGGGGAGAGGGGCTGGTGGTGAGGAGGACGGTGGGCACATCAGGCCCTGTCCTTCCTTTCCTTCCCTGAGGGGGCCCAAACTCTTCCTCCTCCTTCTCTCTCCCCCTTCTGGAGGATGAGTGGGAGGAGAGGAGGATGTTCTCTTGCCCGCTGTCCTTTAAGTCTGTCCCCCAGTCATCCCCCCACCCCCACCCCGTACGGTCCTTTCCAGCTCTGGAGGCCCTTCATCTCCAAGCTGGGCCGCGGCGTCCCTCCGCTCCGTTCCCCTCCTTCCCATCCCCACAGGCGTCGGGTCCAGGTCCCCAGTTTCCTCCGCCCCACAAGCTCAGCATCCCCGCGCCACCCTACCCCACCCCGCCACATCTGCATCCCGACCCTCCCTCCGTACCCGGATCCCTGGACCCGGACCCATCCCTGCCCCCCACCCCCCCCAACTCGGCCAGGCTCTCACCTCAGGGGCTCCGCGGCCGCAGCACAAAAGGCGGCGCTGCTGCAGCTCGGCTCCGGATGCTGCTCCCGCCTCCTCCTCCTTCTCCTCCTCCTTCTCTCCTCCCCCCGCTGCCCTCGACCGGACCCGGGGCGCTGTCACAGGCGAGGCTCGTGCGGTGTCCGGGTGCACGGGTGTCAGCCCCAGCTTTCTCCCCCCACCCCCCGACCCCTAGCCCCGTCCCCACTCGGCTTGAACTCCCGCTCCTTCCAAGGCCCCCGCCCCTGGCCCCCCGGGACGGACACGCCCTGAGCGGGGGATGCTGCGCTGGAGCCGCCGGCCTCTTAAAGGAGCCTGCTGCTGCCATCCGGCGCGCTCCAGGCTCGTCGCTGGCCCTTCGGGGCCCCTCACCTCCCTGCAAGCGGTGTCCTGTGGCAGTCGCACCTCGGGCCTTACGCTGATTCCGCAGGAGCCCCCTATGACCAGTCTTACAAACTCCCTCCTATACCCTGAGACAGAAGCCCCTCAACATGGGACCCCCCCCCACCTGCCGCCCAGCGCTCTTGCCTTGCTCCCCCTGTCATGCCGGTCTTGCCAGATTTCCTTTCCCTAATTGTCACCACTCCCGTTCTACCCAATTGGAATCCACTCAGCTCAATGCCCCGTCCCCCTCCAGTGTTCCTCATTATCATTACAAGATTCCCCTGGACCTCCACTACCTGACCCATTCTGGAACACTCATTAGAACCAGGCATTTTCGTGATCTCTCTCCAAGGTCACAAGATTTTCCTACATCTTTTAACCCAGTGGTCGTGAGACTTTGGGGAGGAGGGACTGGAGCTCTGGGACCCAAACATGTGTTCTGCTCTGCACCCAGATTAGTGGATTCGTTTTAAGAGGCCAGAATCCTCTGTTGCTGTCTCTTCGGCTAAGACACCCAAGACCCACGGCAGAGGGAATGAGACCACAACTTGCGTTAGTCCTTCTAATCCTGTCGTTCCGCTATAGCCTGATTCTCAGGCTCCAGAGGGGGTCTCCTGGGCAGCTACAGAAAGGTTCAGAACTAGGGTCATACTAAAAAAGGCTTTAGAAAAGAACTGAAACCAGACAGGCTGCGGGCCAGAATTAAGGGGAAGGGAAGTGAAGGGCAGCCTAGGAAGGAAGCAGGGGCTGTGAGACGAAGGCCCAAGGGCCAGGAGTTCAAGCCAAGGGCTGAGGGGCAACTGCCTGAGACGGACTTCCCTTGCTCCAGCGCTTGAGGGGCAAAGAACAGTCTCCTCCCGCGTACAGGTAAGGCCCACCCTCCCAGCCTGCAAAGAGCCAGGATCCGACAGCCGCCTCGTCCCTGGACCAATCACAACATTTCCTCAATAAAGAGGCGGAGCTAAAGGGGGGCTGACTCTTTCCTTGTCCCTGCCCCTCTCGGTAAAGTAACCAATCGCTATCTGCCGACAGCAAGTCAGCGCAATCGGAAATAACCAATTATACCGCGAAGCTTTCTGTGCATGCCTGACCCTGCCCCTCCAGCTGCGACAAAGATGACGCGCGAGCTCCTGGGTTCTGTAGTTTTCTCGCGAGTCAAAGGACCGGGGGCTTGAATTAGCCCTTACCGCCCCGCCCCCAGCCGCTTCCACTCTGCTACTACGCATGCCCACCCCGGGGAGCCGAGACGCATAAAAAAGGAGGCGGGACGCTATTAAGCCCCCACCCCCCAAAACGGCCCTCAGTTCGGGAAGCGACAGTGGAGGAGGGCTCTGCTCCTCCCTGAAGGCGGTGCTGCATGCCAGAGCAAACCACGCGGAGGGTTGTGGGGCGGATAGCTCCCCTCCCGATGGAGACTCATGGAGTCGGGTGGGCGGGGGACTCCATGTCCCAGCATGCCCCGCGGCGGGCCCGACCGGCCGCGACTCGGGGCTTGGCCCCGGCCCTAGCTCGTCGGCGGTGTATTGGGGCGCGTAGAGGCTGTAGTCACGGTGGCGCCCGCGGGGACGGAGGTGGGAATGAGTGAAGAGGAGCAGGGCTCCGGCACTACCACGGGTTGCGGGCTGCCCAGGTGAGCCGCTTCGTACCGATCCCTGCCGGGCGAAAAGCGTGGCGCGGTGCGGAGGAGGTAGCGGCACGGCCCCAGCATGCACCTGGCCTGAGGGTTGTTCCCGGCAAGCACTGGGGTAGTGGGCCGTGGTTCCCGGCATGCATCCCGGCAGGGGCTACTGCCTCCTGCTCTAAATAGTTTGGGGTTGGCCCGGTTCCCAGACTGCACTTGGGGCACTGGACTTTATGCTCTCGACGTTCAGTGCATTTGGTGGGTACCGGGTCCCTGGCCTGCACTGTGTCAGGGGACATGCACTTCCTAACTGCACTGGGGTACAGGATCCTCCTTCTTAACTGAGACAGGAACAGTGCATTCCCCGCTTGCTCTGGGGGCAGTGGACCCTGCTTTCCCAGTCTGAATCTCTACTCCACATTGAATCCAGCCAATGTCTGCTGTACTGTCCGGGGTCCCCTGGACCCTATGTCCCCCATAGTGTGCCTGGGTCTGATATGACAGTGCTTGGCCAGGTGGGTGCAGAGTTGGAGGTGTGATAAGGGTCTGTGCCCCCCGCCTCCCCCAGTATAGAGCAAATGCTGGCGGCCAACCCGGGCAAGACCCCGATCAGCCTTCTGCAGGAGTATGGGACCAGAATAGGGAAGACGCCCGTGTACGACCTTCTCAAAGCCGAGGGCCAAGCCCACCAGCCTAATTTCACCTTCCGGGTCACCGTTGGCGACACCAGCTGCACCGGTGAGGAAGGCTTGGGCAGCCTGGCAGGGGTGTGCATTCACAGGGCCCTGTTGGCTTTGTTTCTTGGAGTCTCTTCCCAGTCCTTTTCTCCAAGGCCGGTGAGGGAAGGAGAGATTTCAGGGGAAAAGCCACTAACTGGTTTGGGAAAACGGGACTTTGAGGAGGTGGGTAGGACTTGGGAGAGTTAGAGGAGCAAGCAGGACTGCCACAGTGATCTGGCAATTGTCATCATCCTGGAGGAGAAAGAAGAGATAAACCGAATTCTCGGTGAAGTATTTGGGGGAGTCAGTGCCCGCTGCACTGGGCTCTGTTCCAGGTGCTTGATCAAATTCCTAGTTAACCTTAAACCACAGTCTAATCCAGTGACGTCGATGGTAGTATCCTCATGGTGAATATGAGGGAACTGAGGCTCAGAGGGATTCAGTGAGTGGTGTAAGGTCACGTGCCTGGGGGGAGTGGCAGAGCCAGGCCTTGATGCTAGAGCCTACCCTCTTTCTAACTTTCCCAGCCATCTCTATTTATTGAGAGAAAAGAAAGCGCTTCCCAGAGGAAAGTAAGGCAAAGAAAGAACCTCCACCCAAGATATCTGAGCTCAGGGACAGTTCTGCCTGGCATGGCTTGATTTGGGGAGCTCTGGGAAGATAAAAGCTCCCCCCTTCCAGTAATTAGTGTAACGCTTCCAGTCTTGGGCAGGGGCAATTGGTGAGAGGGGCTTGGTTGACTCCCTCCAGCTATGAGGAGAGAAGCTGTGGGATGCTGGTGTTTCTTCTGTCCTCCCAGTGACCTCCAGTATTGCCCACGCCCCTCTCTCAGGTCAGGGCCCCAGCAAGAAGGCAGCCAAGCACAAGGCAGCTGAGGTGGCCCTCAAACACCTCAAAGGGGGGAGCATGCTGGAGCCGGCCCTGGAGGACAGCAGGTGAGGGAGGAACAGCCGAGGCTTCCTAGAGGCCCTGCCAGGAACCCAGGCCCCTGCGCCACCTCCTCTGCCCAGTAGACCTGGCCTGGTGACACTTAGCCACCTTGACCTGGCCCCTTCCTGAGAGTTTCCTCTGGACAGAGCAGGATGCTGCCAGGCCCCTGCTGCTGTGAAGGATCCTTTGGGGGGACTGTCAAGGGGTTGTGGCTGTGGTTTGGGCCCAGGCTAGGGAGGGAAAGGGGTGGAGGCTGAGGCTAGAGGGGTTGCACCCCAACATGCCTCCTCTCTCTAGCAGGTTGCCCTTCCCTCTTCCACACTCACATTGGAATTTGTTGCCACCGTGTTTCTGGGTAGGAAGAGACCCTCCTTCCGCTTTTCTCAGTCTTCTTGATCCAGTGTTTGGCAGCAAAGGCTCCGAGGAGGAAAAGCTGGTGGTTAAGCTTCCCTGAGTCTTTGGCTCCAGTGGGAAGGAGTTTTCTTAGGGAGTGGGCAGGTCAGGAGGACCTGGGTCCCCACCCTCTACGCCCCCCACCCCCAACATGGGTGTGAATCAAAGGCCCCCTTCCCCTCGGGAAGTTCTTTTTCTCCCCTAGACTCTTCGCTGCCTGAGGACATTCCAGTTTTTACTGCTGCAGCGGCTGCCACTCCGGGTCCATCTGCTGTTCCAACCAGGTATCTTGTATTTCCTGCCTGCCTGAAGGGGGGAGGAGGGGGTCCTGGCTCCTGGCCCCCCAGCCCTTGGACCCAGGCTGGTCAGGCCAGGAGGAAGTCTGAGAGTAAACAGAGGATGGAATAGTTGGGGACCAGAAAGTGAAGAATTTGCACCAGTTGGTAAGCTCTTGGGACAGGAGGTAATTTATGATTTTTAAATAGCCACAGGGATGATGTTTGACCATGTTGAAGGGTCTTGCAGGCCCCATTTTCTTCTGAGTTGGTCACGTGATGGTCCTGTGTGTGCCTCCCATCAGGTGCTTCCAGGGACTGGATATACAGCCCCTCTCCCACTGTCCTGGC